GCAGTTGCTTGATTGCTGCTGTCTTGATGCCTTCCCATTCCGTGTCATCCACCCTTAGCACCCTGAAATTCTCATGCCATTCCCTTTCCATGATCGATCCTTTCACTCCTGCTATGAATGTTGCTTGTTCAACTTCATGGTCAGGTAGCAAAACTGTGATTTCTGCTCGTAGGGGGGCATATTTCTCTTCCTTTTCCTGAAATTTCTTCTTCAGGCATTCCAGGCTTGTTTGTTCGACTCCGTCATATTCCGATGTCCTTGCAAATTCGATGAGGACAATGCGTTTGATGCTTGCAAAGTAGCAGCAACCGTCAGGTATCCAGTGCCCTTCTCGGTGCATTGAAGTCCCCATCGCTTCCATCACGATGCGTATTGGAGTTTCCCACCATGAATTGACCTGTACCCTTTGTTTCCTCCAACTCTGCTGCAGTCTTACCTTGATCTTCTTCATGACTTCATTGTGTGCTTTTTGAATCATATCTTGGAACTGCTTGCACGCTAGCTGAACATGACCCCAGGTTTCTTCTCGGTCTGGACAGTGAGGACAACATGGTGAGTTAGTCTTCCCCCATTGAAAGAGCTTGTTGCCAACGGCCTTGTCCAGGACCAGCTTGATCGGCTCGCTCGTCCCCGCCTCGTTCAAAGAAGCTGCATCTTCGATGACTGCTGACAGCTCGCTGACGAGCTGCATGTCCTCTTGGCTTGACGGAGATGCTGCCTCCATTGTGATCCTCTCCAGGTCTGTAAACTCCAGCCACTCTCCCTCGCTCTCCTCCTGTCGCTGCGCTGCGTCGCTGGTGCCCCGCTGACCAGCCGCCTCAGGCTCCTTGTCGAAGCCGACTGCTTCGAGCTTGGTTGCTGCGCCTTCGAGATAGAAGGGCAGCTCCTTCATCATGCGTCGAGCATCCTCCGTGGAGCCGAGGAGGATGCATAGCTTGGACCCGTTCCAGGACTTGGTGTTCAAATCCTCCTCCATGTCGATGCCTTCAACTTTGATCTCGAGCCTGTTAGCGATCTCCAACAAGACTCTCTTGACTCTTGCGATAGACGTGTTGCCGCCGTTGCACAGCCCCTCCATCTCCTTCCTCGTGAAGCGACCAGATGCCGCCGTCGACTTGATGATGATCTTGATCTCCTTGCCGTCCTTGCCGCCTGCCTTCTTCTGCATCCTTGATGCCTTCTTCAACTTATTTCTGGACACAAAGCGATCAGCTGTCAACTCGACTGCGAGCGCCTCTCTGATCTTCGGGTCCTCGCTGAACAGAGTCAGGTGTACTCCCTCCATCGCTTCGCTCTCTCGGAAAGCTCGAAATGCTGTATCATTCGCCTCTGGGCAGCTCGAGGAGACGATCCACTCCACCTCCCTCTGTCTCCAGATGACGTTGGCCCCTACAGCGACGAAGCCTTTCTGACCTAAGCCTTTGTGGACTTGCTGTCCTGGCGCCCCAGCGACCAGCATGCCTGCCAGCGGCTGGAGTTGGACCGCTGCAAGGGACTGGCGCAGCAGCTGATAGCGATAGACGGCAGCTATCTCAGCCGTTGTCATGCCGCCCAAGGTTAACAGGTGGGTCAGCTCTGCCAAGCTGCCCCCTTTGCCCCAGGGTCCTCTCTTGGCTCGAATCTTGAAAGATCTATCGTGCACGATGCTCACATGTACAGCTGTGAACTTGCGACCATCGATCGCGAAGTCCTCTCTTCCCTGCCAGAGCTTCTCCGCTTGTGCATTGCGGAGGAAGGAAACAGTCACCGGGATCTCCTCAGCACTCGCTATCTCGGGTCTATACGGAGCCTTCCACATGATTGCTTTACTCTCTTGCACTGAGTCTACGATCAGTCCGATCTCTTCAAATTTCTTCTTCAGCTTTTCTTCATGGTTGACATACACCGAGGAGATGCCCAGGAGAGTCATGGAGATGAAGGAAGTCACCTCGTTGCCTGCTGAGGCGGTGTATGTCTCGACCTTCTCCTTCTTGGCTTCTTCAATCTGCTGCATAAACCACTCTCTGGATGCGTCACTCCATCCAGTCATCGCTTCTTGCAGAAGCTCACGTCGTGCCTGCTGACATGTCGAGCGGATGGCTTCTGCGATAGCGTCGGGGGTGCATCCCTCCACAGCCTTGCAAGCCTGGGCTGTCCTGCTGTTCGGATAACGCTTCGCGAAGCTCTTCACCCTCTCGACGAGATCAGCTTCGAGGACAGAGGCATCCACAAGTCCGCTCTGCGTGTATTGGCATGATCTCCGATACAGCAGGTTGCGAACATTTTCATCATACTGAAGAACCATACTTAGAAAGCTATTTGAAGTATACAAACCTCTCGCTTGCAGCTTCCTTGGCGCCCTGGCAGCTTCCCCTACACCACGCGTGCAGCCATGGTGCCTGAAATAACCGGCGCTGCCTGAAATAACCGGCGCTGCCTGAAATAACCGGCGCTGCCTGAAATAACCGGCGCTGCCTGAAATAACCGGCGCTGCCTGAAATAACCGGCGCTGCCTGAAATAACCGGCGCTGCCTGAAATAACCGGCGCTGCCTGAAATAACCGGCGCTGCCTGAAATAACCGGCGCTGCCTGAAATAACCGGCGCTGCCTGAAATAACCGGCGCTGCCTGAAATAACCGGCGCTGCCTGAAATAACCGGCGCTGCCTGAAATAACCGGCGCTGCCTGAAATAACCGGCGCTGCCTGAAATAACCGGCGCTCTAAACCCTAAACCCTAAACCCGCTCCCCCTCCGACATGGCGAAGTGGCTAAGCGAGGGGGAGGGGCGGGGGAGAAGGTCAGCATGTGCCAGCGTCAAAGGTGTAGATCACTTTTACCCTTTCTCCTTTCCCCTGTACCTTTCGTCATAAACACTCGGTAGCATCCCCATTCTTTCTTGAGCATCGTTCGGAGAGCTATCTCTTTTCTCCGCCCACTACCAAGACCTCCTGCAATATTACGACGCTTGGCTGGTAGGTTTCAATCAGGTATCCCAGGATGTGCTTCAGCACAAATTGGCTGCATCCATTGACATTTTGAGAGATGACGTTGCCTGGGGTGTTATCCTTTCTGTGCATCTCCACCCATGATGATTGCTCTGACCTTTTCTGTTCTCCTTGCATTGGGAGAGTGTCTACGTGCTGTTACTACTTGTTCCTCCTCCCAAGTGGCCCATTGAAGTTGATGCAGCACTCCCCTTCGATCCATCGCAGGAAAGTGCGGCTCCTCCTCCTCCCTAACCCCCCTTGCATCGTTCGAGGCTTGCTCTGTTTGTGTATCCTCTGGGGGGTGCGGCGGCTGGAGTTGAGGTGGAGAGGGAGGAGCTTGCAGCGGTGTGGAAGGCGGCGGCAGGATGTCAATCTGTGCTGACCTTTCACCACTGAGCCGCCCGCGGGCCGACGGTGAGATGGTCACGCGGCTGCTCACCTATGATAGAGCATTGCCTTGACACGTGATCCTTGCCAGCTGCTCTGTGAAGGCTTGAGGTGTTTGACTTACCCATTTCTTCTTTTGGAGCGAAACATTTCATGAATTCATTCGGTAACTATCTGCTGGGTAGCTAGCAACTGCTTTTCCTTTCCAATTTAAAAGTCAAAATTCATTTCGCCAGCATGACTTGTACAAATAGCATTACAATTACAATGATGATGAGCGCCATGCACACCATGTCTGACCACTTCGATCCCTTACACGTGGTCACACTTCGTGCCATGCTTGGCGGAAAGCTCCGGACCTCCCTCTCGCTGTCCCCCTCCCTTGGCACTGCATCTGAGGTGCCCACCATGTCGCACAGGGTAGATGGCCCCGAAAAAATCACAATCGAGTCGAGCTGCATCATGCAGTCCGGGGGCAGCACGATCACTACCTGCTGACTTCGCTTAGCCAAGAGTGACAGGCTCTTTCCGATCTGCAATTCGCTGTCAACCTCCGGGATATGGATCGTCCTGCTGCTTCTCTCGTCTACTCCAGGGAAGCAAGGGTGCTCTGCGTGCTGGCTGTTTTGCTGCAGTGAGGGCAGAAGGCTGTGATGTTGGGGGAGAGGGATTCCGCTAGAGAGCGCTTCGACAGGAGCATGCTGATTCTCGGGCATCAAACGTACTTGAGCGATGCTGAACGGTGGAGGAACTGGTTTCCCTGGGATCGCGAATTTGACTGCACCCTTCGTGAAGGAATCGAGAACTATCGTGGAGATGTCTTGTCTTGGCCAGCTGCGAATTGTTGTGCTGCAAGCTCCTCCTCTCGGACGCGACTTGTTGTGCTGCTGCAAGCTCCTCCTCTCGGACGCGACTTGTTGTGCTGCAAGCTCCTCCTCTCGGACGCGACTTGTTGTGCTACTGCAAGCTCCTCCTCTCGGACGCGACTTGTTGTACAGCAAGCTCCTCCTCTCGGACGCGACTTGTTGTGCTGCAAGCTCCTCCTCTCGGACGCGACTTGTTGTGCTGCTGCAAGCTCCTCCTCTCGGATGCGACTTGTTGTACTGCAAGCTCCTCCTCTCGGACGCGACTTGTTGTGCTGCAAGCTCCTCCTCTCGGACGCGACTTGTTGTGCTGCAAGCTCCTCCTCTCGGATGAGTGCTTGCGTCCTAATATGTTACTTCACGTAGTTTACTCGGGTTCACCACGTTCATTTTATACGCTCAAAGGACTTTACTACTATCCTTTCTAGTTTACTCAATCATTATTGCCCGGCCCGGCGCCGGGAAAGCCGAGGGAATGGGCTGTTTACTGGCAGGCTGTTTACTCAAAGTTATGTTGAAGCAACTCAGTAGTTGTACTACGGTATGTTAGTTGTACTTGAAGCTTGCAAATGATCTACAGCCATACATGTACGATGCCTTGAAAACCATACTTGCAATGATCTACAACCATACATGTGTGTATAGCAATAATTGCACTGATCTATGACCAAACATGCCAATGTGTATAACCATGTAAAGAAGTGGCCTGGTGTATAACCATACTTGCATCACGAGGAACTTGTATCAGGAGGAGGATCAGGAGGAACTTCATGGGCAGTCAAAGCACCTTTGACCCTGCTCGCGCCATCCTGCCCATCGGACCAGCAGCTGCAGCATCCTGCGATCCTGTCTGAGGATCCTGACGGGCTCTGAGAGGAGAGAATCTCTGTAGGAGGGTTCAGCAACGAGGATGAGTTGTCATTGACAGACCATTCGTGATGAGCAGCTACTGCAAACGACCCATCAACCTCTGCGTGTGGCGCGCAGCCATGATGCCTGGAATAAACGGCGCTTCTAGACCCTAGACCCTAAACCTCATCCTGCCTACTGCTTTCCCCAAAACTTAACTGATACCTTCCGGCACTAAGCTCCAGAGCATTGCTGTTTAGTGGATTATTTGCCGATGCTGACAACAAACATTCTTGCAGAAGATTTGAATTGTTGGTCTACCCAGACCATCAAAGTCGCAAAAGCCGTGACGTTGCAAGAGTTGTTGGAAGATTTATCAAAATTCTTCATAAATACACACTACAAAAATCAGAGAAAAGACAATGCCAATGTAGTCCAAATGACCAACAGGTAAGAAATACAATTACACAAAAAATTGCAAAACGAAAAACGGAAAAAACCAATGATCATATCGAAAGTATCTGCGAGCAATGTCAAAAAAAATAAAAAATCCTTAGGACTCTGTCGGTTAGAAAGAGAGAACAAGGTTACATCACAATTAGAAAACACTTTATCCGCAACAAGTGTTGGCACGAGGGAGTGCAGTACCTGTAAATTGTTCCCGATGCAACCACAAATGATTCTCTGACAATCGATCTTCGCAAAGCACACCATGTTCTTTAAACACTTGCCTGCCACCGAGCGTCGTTCTCCTGCAAACCATGCAAATTGAACAACGTCCATGCCCATAAAATAAAAAAAACCAGATTGAAGTTTCCAGCAAAGAGGTGAAGAATCTCCAGCAGCGGCAACCAGACACCTTGCATCAGTGAGGTACAGTAGCATGAAACAACTACTTACTCTTGCTTCTCTTCCTTGTCTACAAAATTCATGAATGCAACCTCAGTAACGTATGCCGTTCCGACATCAACTCTCCTGTTTCTCCATCAGCTTGTATCGCACTCAACAATACATCACCAGAGAACATTCAGGTCTGTTGCTTGAAGCAGAAAGCAGACTGCAGCTTCGGTTCCTGCTGCAATCATAGATGACTGAATGTGCAAAGCATCAGGAAAATTCGTCAAACAACTCTAATGATACATCAGGCTTCCATGCACAACAAATCACAGGCGAAGCGATCAATTTTGAGGATCTCAATAATTCTTCAACTGCTGTCCCGTTGTGACGGCCAATCTTCCAGAGTTTGATCTCTCCATTATAGCTTGTAGAGATAGCATGCTCCCCTTCACACTGACGTCACAAGCAAGCAACTCGAAGGAAACTAAAATACCAGTCTTTGGCTCAAATGCACATGAAAGGACGCTGATACACGATGAGAAGCATACAAGCACACAGTTCTAGTTCCTTCACCTCCCGCTGTGCCCCTTCATGACTCGCGAACGACACTTGAGGTGGGGAAGAGCCTGACATAATCATGGTTAACACCATCAAACAGTTTCTGCTTTCTTTACACAGAAAAACGAATTGGAATATTGAAAATGAACATATCACCTTACGAGTTCGCTTGGTCATGCGAACAAACACTTTATCGAGATCTTCAGCTATTGCTTCACCGTCAGCCACTTCCTTGAGGCAAAATGACCGAACTACCTTCAGTATGCTTGTCAACCCCGTCAAGGACTCCAAGTGAGAAGGCGAACTTAAAAAAGAAAAGTGTCACATAGCACTTGAGTGAATTGAGCTACTTCGACACAGCTGCCATCCTTAGGTTCAACTGTCTCCCACATATCTCCCTCAAGCTCCCACACCCTGATATCAAAATCTGCACCTATTCCACAAAGGTCAAATCAAATCTTGCAGAGAAATTGTCGAGTTTGACCAGCGCTAATGATTTGATTTCCAGAAGGGGACCAATCACAGCAATGTATCACCTATTAACTCAATCAGCAGCATGACAGAAATTTGTCTCCTTCACTGTCAGACGATTGAACTCACCTGTGTGTGTCCGTGCAGAACTGCAATAGGCTTTCCTTGAGTATCCCAGATTCTTACTGTCTTGTCGAAGGAAGCCTGCAGGAACTTAAGATTGTTTAACCCTCGACGAAGAAACGAACAGAAGCAATCCGTCGGCCACAAGGGGAGAAGCACACGCAGGTAACCTGCCAACATAAAGTCAACATGCCATTGAATGAAAACTCATCGCTGTCACCAGGTGCCCGTGACCATCTCCAGATTCCCCTTCAGCAAATCTCTTCGGAACCGAGCCACATTCAGCCTGACAAACTTTGTCTTGAATATTCCATATCCTTGGTTGCGCACATGTGAACACGATGTCAACACAGATTTGATGAGAAGAATACCTCAAAGTATGGTCGCCTGATGCAGAAGCTGCAAGCTTACCACTCGGACATGCAGCTACTTTTCTCTAACTCCAACATTAGTTTGGAAGACGAGCAAAACGAACTGTTTACAATTGTGCCCTTGTGTCCTGCCAAGATCACACTGGGATGACCAATTTTGAGGCGAGCGTAGTAGTCACTCACTACTCGCCATACCCAGTCGATGAGGAACTGGGAAAAGCAACCATCAAGAATCGAATCCATTCAACGAGATATCACCTCCCGCAGCATGTCGCGTTGCGTATCGCTTGCTAGCTGAATAGTGGGTGTTGCCTTTTCAGCAGATTCTGCGGATTCGCCTCAGAGTCAATCAACATCCGATTCTGTTATTATTATTTTAGGGAGTTTCCAGCATGTAGGGGTACTTTCTATAAAGGTCATTCCGGAACAGTGGGGGTGGGGTGGGTTGGGGGTGAGGGAAATCTGCCGTTTATTGGCATAGTGGCGAGGGAGGACAAGGGAAGTTGCATTGCGCAGGCTGCAGTCGCACCCATTGTGAGATCGCAGGAAGGAAACCATCAAAAGAAAGAGCAAACGAGTGTTCGAAGAGCCTGATACCAGAATTCTCCTACCTGCTTCAAGATATTTGGATGTGTTGATAACGAGAGAGGTGAGCTGAACCACTCAGGGTGAAGAAATGATGTTGCATATGGGAGTGAGTGTATACCGATCTGTTTTTACTTTGATATTACCAATCTTGATGTCATGTACTCATCAAGTATCATCAAATGAACCTGCATTCCTTAGTGCCTTCTCAATACCAAAAATTCAGTATGCTAGCCCCAAGCTAGAGTACCAGAGGCATTCTCCAATCGTCATGACATCGAAATTCTCTGTGTCCGATCTCAGCATCAAGTGGAACAATCCGGACAGAGCTGGAGGCTTTGGAGCCGTATACTTTGGTGAAACAAGGTGTGGAAAAGAAGTTGTGGTCAAACTCGCATTCAAAGATGAATTTGCCGAAAGACTGTTGCAAAACGAGCTATATTTCAATGAGAAACTAACCAGTAGCATTCCTCCTAGGCATGGAAGACGCTGGGCTACTCTAATTGGAAAGTGCAAACCCCCATACATTCATGGGTTGCCGAAAGAGATTTCTAGTTCTCAGATGCTCATTTTCCGCAGAGAGAAAGGGAGGACACTGGATGAATTCCTGTCAAAAGATATTTCACATCTGGAACAAAGTCTGCATGTACCTGCAAGTCCAACAGGAGAAGACGTTCTAAGAATTCATCTCTTCGTCAAGATTCTTGGAGAGCTCTTATGCAGTATCGTTCAGTTGCACCGTGCAGGGCTCATACACAGGGACGTGAAACCTGAGAACGTCTTCATAGTTCCCACTGATCGAAGCTGTCCCTTGAAGCTTTTGGGTAAGTCATACAAATAATTGGCTGGTAAAGCTAAGATGAGCCGCTAGATCTCGGGAGTGCTTGCGACATGGGTGCAACCCTGCGACGAGGATTGACTGACGACACCGTCGATCCCCTCTATGCACCTCCTGAGTTGAAGCTCAACAGGTAGTGACTAGCCAATTCAACTGCCACGAAAGTTGATTTGAGAGCAGGAAATATCCTTGGAGTTTTGATGTCTTCTGCGTCGCAGTGACTGCTCTACGGGCACTTATTCCTGCTTTCAGCAAAAGCACGACTCAGCTAAGAAAGGTTGGCTGGTGGCTGTGGGATCCTTTCATGGCTTATGTTTCATGGTAGATGATGGAAGAAGAGCTTCCTGAAGTTGACTATAACTTTGAGCAATGGTGTATCAACAAAATCTCCACCTCGAATGACGAACTCAGCAGACAAGTAACTGTCCTACTTGACAAGGTTTGCTACTGGCAGCTCTCAAAAATACTGAACGTATTTCAGAAAAACGAATGGATTGTGAAGCTACTCCAGCCAATGTTGGCAAAAAACCCTGCTTACAGACCTCAACCACAGCATGTTCTCAAGAAACTTGGACCGGTTGCCTTCAGTTTCTTTGCTCGATTTCGTTGACCTGTCTCAACAGGTTTGGGCTGCAACCCTTCATTCTGTTGAAATTTTGAGTCCCTCCGCTCCTTCCCTTGATGGAAGGCTTCCTCAGCGTTTCGTGCAAGAGATGAGGTCAGTACTACATCATACGTTCACCGTAAATTGACAGAATTTCAGACGGAAACCGCACATTCTATTTGTCTTTTTCATTCAGGTGAGATGATGGCCATGGAGCACTTGGTTCCAGCTCAATATCTCTACTATCAGGCGGCCAAATTTCTGTTTGAGAAGTGTTTCCTCCCTCTAGTCTTTCGTTTCATACCCCGGGTGCTAGGTTAGAAAGTCCCGAATGACCCTGCTCAGAAAGCTAAACATTGTGCAGGAAATATCAACCGATCGTTTGTCGCTCCGGTCACAAAGAGAATTGGTCTAGCTGTCTGATATTTGTTTTCAATGGGTAAACAACTAACAAAACCACTTACACATTCCATCTAAAATCAAATTTTGATCACATTTTCGAATCGGAAAGTGCTCTGCCAGGTTGTGGATTCGGGCATAGCAGTCTCTTCTTTCGAGTTTCATCATGCCTATATGGTATGTCTCGTCTGCTCGTTTATGCCAAAGCATCGTTGGAAGTGAAATGATGCGTTGATCCTGCCACTTGGTAATTATAGGAAGGAACACTCGAGTAAATGTAGCTCCGATTGCTATTACGAATTTCAGTATTGGTTCAAGATATCCCAGAGCTTAAACAACCTGTACTTGGGAAAGGAGCCCTCTGACGAGTAGTAGGACGTAGAATAGCTTGACTTCTCGAACGATTTGTCTGAGATCTCGAAACTCTTGTACGCAGAAGCTGGAGCAACTGAGGCGTAGCTTCGATTGTAGTAAGACAGGACTCTCGATACAGGCTGTCGCACTTCTTCGATGATCTTCTTAAGATCCTCCTGCAAATTTTTATTCCTGGGAAACTGAGAAACTCTTGCAGAATACCTGATTGGAGAGCATGGAATTCATTCCATCAAGAATAATTTTTCTCTTGTTCTGAAAATCATTCATTTGCTGCTTTCGGTCTCTGTCGGCCTCAAGGAATTTCCGAATGGCGCCAGCGCATTTATCGATCTCGGCCTGAATCTTTTCCTTGTCCTTCAGAATTGTTTTCTTGCTTTCCTCAACTTCGAGTAGAGCTTTCTCGATTTCTTCCATCTAAAATGGTTCTAGTGAACAGAAAAATGAGGAAGGGGCAATTTTACCGCTTGCTTATTGAGAGCCTGGGTTTGCTCCATGTATTCGATACGAAGGCGCTCCTTTCGCATGAGCATATCATACTCAGAACTCAAATGGCTCCTGGGGTTTTGTCAGAACCAACCTCCTTCAATGCATGTGCGCCCCCATTTACCTCCGCTGTTCACACAATCCAGTTTCTTGGATGCAGACTTTGCAAGCTGCTTCAATCCGTTGAATCTCATTCCTGTTGAAAACGTGGTCAACAAATGATTTCAACTAATGGACCAACACACCTGCATCTCTGGATTTCTGCTTCAGTCTCTTGCTGCTGCTGCGTCAAGTTCTGCACATCTCCTCGAAGGGACGTAGTGTTGTTTCTCTGTTCTGCAAGGAGTCTCTCCAAGTCCTGCAAGGAATTAAGTGCAACACCTTGTGGATGAATTTGACTGATAAACCTGATGTGCCCTCTCCAGCTCGATCTGTCTCTTTTCCAAATTTCTCAAAATCTCCATCATAGAATCTTCCAGGTCAGCCCTGTAAACATGTAAATGGTACTAGGGAACAGAAGGGACCCTCAATACCTATTTTGTTGGACTTTCCTGATTTCTTCATTGAGCCCTCTTTCAGCATCCAAGAAAGACATTTCATCCTTTCAGATATTAGAGTCCCACCGCAGAATTACTGTAAATTAGATATAAACCTGTTTCCTCCCGTGTTTTGCAGAGGTCAAAGAAATCTGCCATTTGTCGAAGTCCTCTTCAATCTTCGCTTGAAGATCATTGATGACTTGCTCTCGCATCTGGAGCTGATTCCGAATTCGAGAAAGCTCAGCCATAAGAACTTCATTCCTGATTTCGCGTGTATCCCATGAGGAATAAAGATACATCACAAGCCCGCTTGTACCTGTTCACAGCATCCAATCTGGCGTTTTCAGCTGCTCGCAAAGATTTTTCTGTCTCTCTCACACGTCCCTTCTTGAATTAGTGTGCTGAAATTCTCATGATGAGTCAACCTGAATCTCTTGATTGTTTGCCGAAACTTGTGCAAACTGCTCTTCACTCTCTGCCTCAGCTTTTTCCGCCTCTCTCAGCTTTCGCAGCTCCTCTTCTTTGCGCCTCTGTATCAAAAGAATCAAAACCGATTTGCACAACGAATAATGTTACCAAAGCATCATTCATTTCTTCCATGGCTTTGCTTCGGGACTGTTTGAATGAGTCAGTACAGCATGAGAATGGTATGTCATACTTGTTCGAGTTTAGCTTTCAATTGCTCTTGATGCATCCGATAGCTTCTCTCCTGCTCCTCTCGCGCAGGAAACTCCATCTGTCGTATGTCTTGAGTTTTATCCTCTTGTCATGATATCAAATCAATCTACCTGTAATTTGGCAATCCTTGTCTCACAGTTGGTACGAGCAAGTTTCTCGTTTTTCCATTTGTCTTGCAATTCTTGGGTCAAGAGCTGATCTTTTTCAAGGGACTGCGCAGACTTGTAAGATAGAATGAATTTCAATCTCTGATCCACCTCTTTGGCAGCGATGATGTGAGATTCAGCATCCGCTAGCATTTTCGTAAGATTTTGCATTTCTTCTTTGATGTCGGAGCTGTCAACTAAATATTCCTCATCAGTTTGGATGATTCACAACGATTGATCTTCACCTAGATCTTTTGACATATTGTCAATTTCTTGTTGAATGCTGATGATCAAAGCTTGCAACTCTTCAATCTTGAGGCTCTTTTCTTTGATAGCCATTGTGAGATGCTGTTTCTCATCGAAGTCTTGATTCTTGTGCATATCTGCCCTGTACAACGCTCCTCTCAAAGCTTCGATTTCAATTTCGGCATGTTGCATCTGCTTCCTGTCACTATCGAGCAAAGATTGAAGTCTTTGTTTCTCTTTCAAAAGGAATGACTCTGTCTGTCCTCTCATCAAGGAAACATCGTATTGGACAATAGAGCCGTCTGGATTTGTTCTTCTAAAGAGAAGATTCACGTAAGTTCCGACTTCTCCCAGCATGATGTGCTTGATTTCAGACAAAGGCTTGCCATGGACCGGAAGGTGCTCCACTTTCTCTAGAACATCTCCCACTTGAACTTTGCCGTCTTGCTCAGCACTCCCACCTTTGTAGATACGATGGACATATGTTTGTCTTTCACCTTGAACATCCTGTAAGAATGCAATGCCTACTCCGGACACAAGAGTGCCAGATCCTAACAAATCATGGCTCAGATGCTTCGCTTCGTCGAAAGAAAAAAAATGCAAAAAACCTGCATTGATTCTGTGCATGATGATTCAGCAGTCACTTATTCCTGCAGTTGCAATCGTCAAATCCATGTTGACACCAATGAATGGTTAAAATCTGGAAGTTCTTCTTCCAAATCTAACAAGAGTGAAAAAAGTATGAAAAATCTTCACAGCAGCGCTCTTGTAATATATTTGTCAGATCTCTAGTCGTACCACTGAAACTAGTCGTAATCACCACTAGATTGAAATGTTTTAAACGCACTCATCTCGCCTTCTATCCTCGCATCTTCCCTCACTCGCTTCCCTAAGCTCTCCGTCATGCTCGGAAGCAAATTCAGCAGCCCGCGCATGGCTCTGACGGCTGGTGAGTCTGGGGGGGTGGGTGCAGGACCCCAGGTAGTCTTTCAAAAGACAGGTGTTACAAACAGGGGGTGGGTTCATGAAGTACTAGGGGATGGATGATTTGGCAGAGATTGCTAATCACCCCACCCCATATCCACTCCAACCCCAAACCCGTCTTCCCCTTCCAGCAGCCCTCTGATAGTATGTTTGAGTACCCCTGGGTGCCTCTGACTACCCACCCCCTCGAACTCAAGTTCATATTCCGTTCCGCCGAGGAGTTGCTGTCAGGCTCTCTGTCGTACTACCGTAACGGCTGCCACGCCGGTCGGAGCAAAATCATTTTTAACCAGAGACCGGTACGGTACACTCAACCTCTACTACACCTCTTGTACTACCCGGCTATTCCGGCCTGGTACAAACTCGTTCCAATAACTTGTAATGTAACCGTACTCCGATTCTGCAAGTTCTACGGTAGTACCGGGTACGGTATCAGTTTTAGTGTTTTAAAGTTCACATGAAGTATTATATTTATTAAGTAAAGAATCGGATTAATCATAGTACGGTGGCACTGCGCCGGGGGGCCGGGCCCGGGCCACTACAGTGCACGGGCCGGCCCGGCCGGGCGCGGCTCCGACTCACGGCTGAGGCATGGGGCACGGTTGACTGACCGGGATCGGACCCACCGGCCCGGGCTCGCCGTGGCCCACCTTCAAACTGGCACTGAGCGGCGGCCGCATGACTCAGTGAGCGGCAGCCTTCCGTCACGGTCACTGCGGCCGCCGTCACCGTCACCGCCCGGTCCCCGGCCGACTGCACCGGCGGTCAGTAAAGGCTCACTGCGGCCGCCGCTCGATGATATCGCGGCAGGCTTCAGCTGCAACAAGACGGACAAGTTAATGCATACCGTGGCACCGTGCGCCGCTCGGAAACCAGACTCAGTGGCCCGGCGAGACCGGCGACGGTCCGTAGACTGCCCGTGTATTCTAGGCTACCAACTTGCAAGACCGAGTTTAATGCACACAAAACCACTGGGAATTGAGGGTGCCCCGTCAACACCACTGGCCGTGACGGGCTCCTCCGACCGGTCGATGATGCGACGGTCCGGCTGCACTGATGATCGCCGGAGTCCGATCTGCAATGATTGCAGGCTCTTCAAGTCCGAAGTTCGTCACTCTCTGTGTTGTGTATCACAATGATGTATACAACATAGTCTGGTATCGAACCGGGTTCAACCGGGTGCCAGGACACGTCACGGTTAAGCCTGCCAGTTAGTCGTGAAAGTTGGTTTACAGGAGGAACTTGCATCCTCTTGACGGCCGTGGCGAGTCACACCGGCGGACGGTACATTGACAGTGCCGCCCGGCGCCGAACAAGCCTTGGAGCCGCGCCCCCGGTGACTCGGCCCGGAATGTCACTCAGAGTTCCAAGTCACAGTCCGATCAACTTCGGATACGATGAGACTGCGCAGTGCGGCAAGTGAACCGGCGAGGCTCCGGGACGCGGCCGGCGGTCGGGATGCTGCAGCACCGTGACACTGATCGGACCGTACCGTAGTACAGATCAGGGACAATGAAGAGAGATAGAGACTTACTGGGAGCCGCTTCCCGATACTATGATAAGCCTGATAAGCACTGATGAGTGCCAGCCTTCATAAGCCCTAGCCCGCGGCCCGGCATTCCGAGCCTCCGAAGTTCCGCGGCGGCCCAGCGATTCAACGCCGGTTGACTGAGGCTCATGATTCGAAATTCAAGCCTGCGGCTACAACCGTTCAGTGAACAGCTGACAGTGTCACTAGTAGTAGCAGGCGGAGTCCGACGACTCAGCAGTGACGGATCGGACTGGGCCCCGGCCCCGGGGGGCCGGGCCGGGCCGGACTCCGGACCGCCCGCGTGACGGACTCGGATCGTTGCTAGATCGTGTCCCATGTTTTGAGTACCCCAAAAGATACCCACCCCCTTTCTGCCCTCCACCTCGAATAGGAACACAGGGGTCCTTTTAATGATTCGACAAAAAGCGAACCCCCAATCCTTCCCCTACGTACTTGGACCTCCCGTGCGCTCCTGCTTACACATGCTTGCCGGCCTGCTATCTTTCAATGTTTCGCTGGGAGTTATCTCATCTACTGCTCGATGAAGACCCAGATGACTGTTTCTCGTCATTCTTGAACGCGAAATCTTGTGATTGTACTTCTGTTTGGTCAAACCCGTTCTCTTGTTCCGCCTTCTTGACAGCACTGCTGTCACTCATGAATACTCGAGGGGTTGTCTTGCCCATTCCAATCATGCGCACTTATGCGAAAAACTGATTTGATTACTATGCACTGTATGTGTACTTTTCATCATTCATGCTATCAAGACTTGTTATTTGAATCGTTGTCTTGATGTTTCAAGTGCGCGGCAGACATGATACATTTTGCTGGTCAATGTCACATTTGGCAAACAATTCTTGCAGACTAACACATATTCCCAGATTGTACGAGAACCAATGAGTTCCACAAATGAGGAAATTCATGCTCCAGCGGTCAAGAAATTCAATCCGCCGCTCCGTCTGCTTTGCGGTCCCGGTCCAGGAAATGCGCATCCACGAGTGCTGTCAGCGATGAGTCTGCCACAGGTGGGACACCTCGACCCCTACTTCCTCGAGCTCATGGAAGACATCAAAAGCCTCCTCCGTTATTCCTTCCAGACGACAAACGACTTCACGATTCCAGTATCCGGAACAGGATCAGCTGCGATGGAGGCTTGTGTCTGCAACCTCATTGAGCCTGGCGACGTTTTTCTTGTGGGCTGCAATGGATACTTTGGCTATCGCTTGGTAGAGATGGGCAAACGATATGGTGCGGTCACGCAGGCAATGGTAAAGCCATGGGGAGAGGTCTTTAGCTATGAGGAAGTGAAGGCTGCAGTTGAGAAGCACAAGCCGGCTGTTCTCGCTTTGATTCATGCTGAGACGTCCACTGGAGCTTGTCAACCTTTCGAAGGAATTGGCGAACTATGCAGGAAGCACAATTGTTTGCTCATTGCAGACTGCGTGACATCCATCAGTGGCGTTCCTCTCTTCCTTGACAAATGGGGAATCGATGCTGCGTATGCGGGCACACAGAAAGCCTTGAGCTGTCCTCCAGGAGTTGCTCCATTAAGTTTCAACAAGCGAGCAATGCAGAAGCTCATGAGCAGAAAGACCGCAGTGGCAAACTGGTACCTCGACATGCGAATGATCGCAGCTTACCTCACAGAGGGAGGAGGAGGAGCTCGCTCCTATCATCACACGGCTCCAATCTCCATGTGTTATGCTCTTCGTGAAGCCCTTGAGATCGTAAGGGAAGAAGGACTAGAGAGTCGTTGGAGACGCCACCAGCAGGTAGCAGAAGGTTTCTGGAAGGAACTGGAGGCGATGGGCTTGGAGCTCCTGGTTGACCACAAGCACCGGTTGCCAACACTGACAACCATTAAAGTACCAGCGGGCGTTGACCCAAAGCAGGTCACCAGCTACATCCTCTCAAAGTATCAGATTGAAATCGGAAACGGGCTCGGAGAGCTCGCAGGAAAGTGTTTCCGAGTTGGTCTGATGGGCGTGAACGCTCGCAGTGACATTGTCTTGACGATCCTGGCCGCGCTCCGAGATGCTCTGGAGCAGCAAGGGTACCAACTCAAGCCAAAGCAGAAGATGAGAGCTGCGTTATGAGTCCAGCACATGCTGAGCTGTTGAGCTTCTCGTTGGCGTCCTTTCTTCCTTAACTTGAAGTCTCCATACAAGAATGCAGCAATCATGCCTGACATAAATCAGATAAACATCGCTCCTTGATACATTTACCTTCCAGCCGTTATCAAAATGTTTCCACCATGACCTACAGCAGTGGCAGCAACCGGTCCTGCATGGCCCCTGTAGGTCTGCTTGTGTACCTGCTCGAGCTGTCATCTCGTGTTCGGGGAGAGACTCACGTACATTGGAGGTTGCAGGATATCTCAATAGACCCAATGTTCCCTCCTCATCGCAGAAAGCAAGAAAGTGTGGAAACTACAGATCAGTCAAAGAAGAGTAGGAGTATGGAGATATATGAAGTAGAATTGGTGGATGAAAAGCGTGAGATGTGGAATAGTACATCAGCTGTGAAGTGGTTCGATGCTAGGCTTGTTATCTCCGGTCCTGCATATTTCTTGCCTTGAAGATCATTATTCCACACTGCCTGAACTTCCCATCCCACGAGGCATGTCGTGGACCGCCACGTGATGTTCCGCAGGTCGCTCACCTACAAAGATGTCGAAGGCCCGACAAGGGAAAAGAGAGGCTTACCCGCAGTCCCTGCTTCCCTATCTGCACTATGATCCCATCCTCATCAACAACCCAGTACAACAGCTCATGGAATGATCCTTCCTGAACTGTCAGAGCAAGCAAACGTCTTCTTCCGCACCTGATGATCGCAGGTACAGCCCGTCAACCGACCAATCCAAACCAGAGATTTTGCACGCATGTCCTTCGCCACTTGAAACAAAACCTACAGCGAGTAAAGAAACGGCAGAAAGTATCAAGTACCAACGTGTCTTTTGAGCAAGCAGAACAGAATCATCGGTGAACTTATTCTCTCGTTCACCCTCCCCCGAGTAGACCAATACGTGAACTAAGAGGTCATGGTCAGATGTAGTCTTTGCTGTATTCTCTTGTTTCAGATCTCACAATCTCCGCCTCACCTTTACGATCGTCAGAAACAGCAACAAGCTTCCTGCCACACGGGCCAAAGCGAATCTGGCGAATGGCATGGGTCGAGACTTCGACAGTGTGCAGCTAGTTGCAGATCAGAACATGAAGAAGGAGCTGAGGGTACCTTTGTGGCAGTGGAGTGAGAAACGAATGTGACCTAGAGCAAGGAAGTTGAGAAATCACGAACTAGGTTGTCACGATTGTCTCACGGTTCCATTTCTTGACCCCACCGCCAGCAGTGACCCATCCGGGTTGTAGTCGACACTGAAAGAAGCTTCCTCAAAGTTGACCTGACAGAAAGAAATGAACGCCCAGCAGATGCAACTATCGTAATGGGTCAAGGTCTAACTCACTCTGTGTGGAAGTGGGTCTAGAAAGTCGTTGTAAATCTGCAAGCATGATGGGGCAGAGGCATCTGATCTCATCGTGCACATTGCCGCGTATCCGTCTTTTGTCGGGTGAGCCACTAAGCTTGTCAGGATGCTTCCCTTCCAACCGCCGACGCCACTTGGAGCAGCAAGCAATCTGGTATATGATATGGACAAACCGACAAAATGATCCTACCGACCCTTGAGAAGATGCTCAGAACGAAACTGATTCACCTGGATAGGATCCCTCCATGCCCAGACAACAGAGAAGGGGTCAAGAGGCGACCACTCTTTCTCCATCTCACGAAATCTTGTCGGCTCCACAGGGAACCTGACCAAGGTTGGGCTGTGATTCACACAAACTGACACGTTCTCTCCATCTTCTCACCTATGAATCTCACTGTTGTCAGTCCCCACCGCGACTATCGCGCGATCCAGGCGAATCCCTTGCTGATGGCAGTCTGGTCACTGAAGCGACTCCTGTCCTGTCTCTCACCTTGGTGGACTCGTAGCGAAACACATCCAAATGGCGGACGGCATTCGACAACCTCCACTCGGCTATACACCCGTCGATCTCCATGGAATAGAAAGGCTGCAACACAATGAGAAGAGGCAGATGCATGTTCGCCGCCCCCACCTTCATATTCGAGTTCCACAGTTTCAGCATTGCATCTTGTCCTCCTGCACACATTGAGAATGGTAAGAGAGAGGAAGAGGAAACCGGTGAAGAAAGTCCCATCTTTGAACGTGAAAATCGCGTTTACAGGGCCTGAGTGGCACGAAGACACCTTGAAAAACGCTGACCAATGATAAAACCAACCAGATGAACCTCGAGAAGATTTATCTTGGGAGCTTCGGTGCCATCACTCCAAACATGAGAAACCTTCTGGTCAAACAGGTTCGGTTCCTTCCTATCCGTCGTAACTTGGAACCGGTATACCCTTCCATCTGACCCTCCGCACAATAAAATGATATCAGTTTCAGGTTGTTTGCTCTTGTCGCTGTAATCTTGTCTTGGAAGGCAAAACCTTCATCACGTCAGACTATCACCTCGACTTCATCATATCTCACCCTACACACAGAATATGGTTTGGGGTTGCAATCCTCTTGCAGCCAGGTTGGGATCCTCGTAGGGTCCCTTTCAGTGCGATCTTCTCACTCGATGTGACTCTGGGGTTTTCCGTTTGTCTTGCGAGGAACGGTCTCTTCCAGCCTTTCTCCTCCAGCATCGCAAAGGCGCGTTCCTCTTGAAGTGTCAGTGGAGCGACCTGCTTTATGCTCTGATACGCGTCCTGCCTGGAGCTCTTTGAGGGCGTCAGGACAGCAAGAGGAGGGAAAGGAAGGAAATACCCCCTCTTCCGTGCCGGGCATTTCAAAGACTGCCATCCTACCATGAATGCTCGGCTGAGAGGGCAGACACTAGGCCGCAAGTCAATCTAGTAATCTCCAGCTACCTTCCTCACCTTGATCAACTTTTCCTGAAACCGCAGGTCTCTCTTGGTGGTGGCTCGTGGGTCAAAGTCGGGTCGCTAGGCAGAATAATCAAACAAGCAAGAGAAACAGGTGCGAAGAGAAGAAGATACCGATTGGATGACTTGAAGCAATACATTGGCCTCCCACCCCACGTTCTTCTCGCCTGGATCTTCAACCTTCCTCCTCTCCATCAGCTGATTTCAAATCATCAATTTCCTTCACCATGTTCGCTTGCATTATGCGATAACTTTTATCCCCGTCTGCAATGGCAGCTGCATCTGGCAAGTGAGCTGCGTACGACTTTCCTGTCCTCTCATTTCAGCTTGGTACATTTCAATGACGATCAGACCTGACCAGCGGTTGCTGGTCTGTTGGGCAGGAATCAAGACTGACTTGCCCTCTCCTGCCATGAAACCAGGACGCTTTGACGCCCACCTGTGTCCTCTCGGTCACCTCAGCGCAGGAAGGTAACTCTGCTTACAAGGTCTTGAGGTAGCTTTCAGAAGCTGCTTGCTCCATGCCTGCCAGCCCGTAAGTTATATCAATCTTCTTGTCTCCCCATCCCTATCCCCATCCCCATCCCCCTCTTCTACTTATATTGCTCGGCTTGTTAAAGGAAGGAGGCTTCTTTGTCACATCCCAGATCGCCAGCCGAGGCTTCGCATCATCACGATGCATCATCTCTGTCCTCCCCATCGAGCTCAGCTCCAGCCCGCGGAGTTTCCAAACTCGAACGTGTCGCTTGCCGAAGGTCGCGAGGATCTCAATGTTGTTAGGGAGTGGGAGGGAGCAATAAGACACTCCCAGCACCTCCTGCTGGCTCGCAGCCTCCTCGACAAGTTTCTCTTGTCGCTGCCAATCCCAGACAGTCAAAGTGTGACGAGCGTCTGCCGTCACACACGCCAGTCGCTTCCCATCGGGGGAAAATGAGAGGGAAAGGATGGACCCGTAAAATCTCTCCTCTTCGTATCCTATCCTTCCCAATTCCTCCATGGTCTGGCTGCTCCATAAGCACACGTAGGCATGCTTACAACGTCTGGTCATCTCTTCCTCCTTCTTAGTGCCCTTTGCTCCATCTCTAGTCATCCTATACGCGTCTCTCCTCTGGGAATAAGCGGTTTCTTGCCCTGCTCTGACTCAGCAAACGACTTTCACAAACTCGTGCATACCGGAAGCTGTGAGCCAACCGTTCATATTCGACGACGAGCTGTCGTTTTTGTAGACTGTCAAGCAGCTGCTGACCTCTCAGACATTTCGAACACATAAGGATTCGTTACGTTACTGCAGCGTCATGTCCGCGATAAAACTTCTGCTTTCTGCCCTCCTCCTCGAGGCTTGGCGTCGAGCTTTCAGCATCAAGATTGTCTACCCCACTGTGAACTACACAAAGCTGCGCAAATTCATTCACGTTATCAGTCCTGATGCAAGGCAAATGCAACACGGCAAACAAATCACTCAGTTTCCTCACCTTGCCAGCAAAGCAAATCAGATGTCCTTGAGCGTTGAATGTGATGGCATTTCTTGTGTCGTGAGCTCGAAATCCATTTGAGACAAGAAGCTCGAGTTTCTGTGATTTTTCAGTGTACTTGTAAGGATCAATCTCATCACCAGGTCATCGATTTGTCGGTCATTCTGGTCGCTGCGAGATTCGATCCCACTTGCTGATCAGAAGCCATCACAGGCTAGTGAACCTCTCGACACTGACTCTCACCTGCCTTACGAGGAGGATAAACAAATATCTTCTTCCCTCCGACAAAGTAAAAGTCAGCGAAAGATCGAGGGCTTTGTTGATCTGCAGGACTGTCAACTGACGCCCAGGGAAACACAGGCAACACGAAGATCACGTTGTTGGATTTGTTTCTTCGATTGCGAAATCTTATGCTGGCTGTAGAGATTCGTTCGATAGGGGCCTGTTACCTCCATCGAATGGTATGGGCTGATCATTGACACTGCATTTTGTTGCTCAACCCTGCTCTCCCCCAGCATGCAAGTCAAAATGGTGTCGATAAACGCGACCTCGAGCTTCTTGACAGTAGTGGAGTTGTCAGTTGACTCTATCATATCAACAACAGTAGGACTTCGAAGGATATATATCAGCATTGACTGATTCGTGAAAAGTAGAAAGTAGTTTACAGACAGAGACCAAGAGTAGAAAGTTGAAGTAAAAACCAACCAATCAGTTGAATGTGATCGCGATCAAGTCAGTAATCGCTCGTGTGTTCAGTGATGGAATGGGACCTGCAGGAAGGACGACAGAGCTGGCGCATCAATGTTCTTGGACATGTCCAACGCCATAGCATTTGTCCGTGTCAATAACACATTGCGATATCTGTTGACTGGTCATTCAGCAATCAAAAATCAATGTGCTCAACAAGAGAAAGATGTGCTGAAAGCGAACTTCAAGGTTGGGAAAGAGAGTTTGCACTATTGTCATCTCGTCGTTGACGACTTGTTCTGTCCAGCTTTCGACGTCCTTGAGTGCTAGTCCTGATTGTCAAAACAAAAGGAAACCGTTTGCAACGTCTTTTACCAGCTTCGACTGCACCTGAAAGGTCACCATCTTCGTCTACACAGCTCCGAAATGTCTCTAACATTTCTTCCAGCCACTCTTTGCTCCACGTACCTGACACTCGATCTGTCAGTGACCGTTGGGTGAAGTGAGAACTCACAGATGTCATGAATTGTTCTTTCGCACATTTCGTTCGACATCTTCAAGGTTTCCAAGATCTCAGCAGTCATGTCTTGCTTCGGAGACAATGCCGCATCATCGAACTCATGTTCGCCATCGCCAAGAAAGCGACTCTTCCTGCAAACTGTGGTCACCCATCAGCACGAAGGTGGCCGGAGCACCTTCTGAAGGAGTCATGCTCGTAGACCTCAGATTGTTCCTCAATGAGCTCCAGCGTTCTACTCTCATTGTTGCTTCTGCGGAGGCTCGAGGTTCGTGCAAATGACCCGCTCACCTCCTCTTGCACCCGCGGCTCTGGCGTCTTGGTTTTCCTCATGGCTGGTGGGTGTGCGTGCGAGAGAGAGAGTCTGCTTGCTGTCCAGACTTGTTCTACATCGACTGCCCCGTCTATGATGGTATCCACCGTCAGCCCGATGTCGGCAAACCTCCCTGGTTTGATTGAGTTGGCTGCCTCAGCAATCTGAAATGCAAGAGCGAAGGGCGAAAAGAGAAACAAGTAGATAGAGCATTGAATGAGATGAGGATAAGCACGTATTTCAGTCGATTAACATGCATAGATCTGATGCAAACCTGTAGCTCAAGCTGCGACATCTGCTCTTCCAGCGCAGACATCTTCAGGATTCTGCTGGAGAGGGAATGCGTTGCCAGATTTGTCCTGCTCCTGTCTCCTTCCATTTCTTCATCTTGAAGGTTTTGAGAGCCCTCGGCTGTCCGGGTGATATTCTCATCCCCTTCCCCGGCTACCTCTCTTTCATCTGCCTCGTTTTGGATCTCCTTCTCTTCGTTTTGCGTTTCATCCTGGCGATCAGTTTCTGTTTTGGCAAACTCTGCTCGAAAAATCAAAAGAGAACAAGGAAGCGAAGTTGTAAGAGTGACCTGGAGGTAATATATCAACCCTCCCTCCTCTGACGTGTAGCCACGCGTCTTTGAGTTGACGTCGAGACCTGTTGCTCGAGTACTCCTTCATCACCCTCTTGGGTTCGTAGCCACCCGCACCACTGCCGACATGCTCAACGCGGAAGAGAAACATCTGGTCCACCACTATATCAGCTGACTCTGCCACTAAGAAGGAGGTCGCAAACGTTTTGAATCTCGTGAGCAAGCCGTACAGTGCTAATCGTTTCTTGACCTGGTTGATCAGCAAGCAGTTGCATCCATACCAAGTCCTGTCAATCAGTGAGAGGCGTACAAGTAAGGTTCGTAGAGGTTCAGACTCGAGTGAGACAAGACGTGTAGGCATCACATGGCATACCAGCAGAGCATCGTTCTTGTCTACATATTTTTTGAAGAAGCTTCGGAAGTCATCGACTGTCATCCGAGCTTTCCCTCGTTTGGACAGTGCGATAAGCGACAGGAACATCTCTCTGACTTGTTTGCTGCCGTAGGGCAGCTTGGTGGCGCTAACAAACGAGCGCATGACCTGCCAGACTCGATCAGAAGAGAGGCACCTGCTCAAGCAAAGCTACACCTCCTCCCTGGCTGCCTCCGTGTGGGGCCTGCCCATGCCTCCCTGCATGGCTGAGAACCCAGGGCCTGTGACTGGCCTGCAGCCCGGGAGGGAGGAAGGCACCGCTGCCGAGCGTCGACAGTAATCGGCGACTCTGGCATTGGAAATAGGGAGGAAAGTTTCTCTCACGCTCGCGGCGTGAAGCCTGTGATTGTGAGCACTATCGAAGCCTCGCATCTCCTCTATGCCTGTATGCTATACCTCCCACCGCGTTCCCCTCGAATCATTAGCAACGCAAGGCATGCCTAGGGACAAGCAGGGATTCTTCCCTTCTCCCGAGCATGTGCTGTTTCCTCCTCCTCCTCCTCCCTGGGCATGTGCTGCCTATCCCGCGTCTTCGCCATTCTCCCAAAGATTTTACTCAACTTCAATCCGACCAGGGAAGGAGCAATGGCAGCCTCCCTTGGCTTCGCTTCATCCTCACTGGCTCCCCTCTACACGCACTTTCCGCCTCTCAGATCCTCCCCTCTCACCCCCCCCACCTCTCTCCCTCTCCCCTGCCATCCGCCCTTCTCCTCTCGCCGGGCTTGTCGAGCTCAGCCTGTTCGTCGAGGAACAGCGCAAGAGCCTGGGGTCAGTCTTGGCATGCCTCCCTCCGCTCTCACGCTCCTCAGAGACTCTCGCGATGCCTGACATCATGGCAGAAAGATGTAGAGAAACGAGCAAGCAGCCAGGCCCTCAAGTCAGTCCAGCGAGCCAGAAGAGCTGCCCAGGGGCTGCTGGTCGCCATTTACGTGGGGAGCATGCTCTCGTTGGACTATGTCTTTACGGCCATCAAGCCGCAAAACTTTGTGAGGAGTCAGCTGGAGCCTGAGCCGAGGGTCTGATAGCTGCAGGTGTTTGTCGTCTTCTGGTTCGGCTTCTCGTGGCTCCTCAACGCCAAAGGTTGACCAGGCATGTCGCCGGAGCTGCTGACATGAAGTGAATCAGTTTACAAGCAAGAGGAGGCTGTAAAGCCGCTTCTTCCCGAGCGTTGGGTCTCGACATATGCCAAATTTATGGCAGTCATCTCCATCCCCTTGCCGTGGCTCCTGATCTTTCAAGGTGATCCTCGATTCGAACGCGTGGGCGTTGACTTCCAATCATGGCAGGCAACAAGGATCATGTCATGGTTCGATCTTTCCTGATGCACACGTGACAAGCGTCTGATGGGCAACAGGCTGCAGGCTCTCATCTTTACTTGATCATGGCGCAGGCAGAGATTCTTGCTGCGACGACCCTGATGCTCATTCCTACTCTAAGGTGTTGATGGAGACGTTGATGGTCAAATTGAAATGGTCCACTGCTGTACGACTTCTCACACCCATCGCTTACAACACGTGAAGTGAAAATTTCTGCCTGCCCTGATCTCATCTTTCCTGTTTTCCTAGCTATCGCTTGCTGTCGTTGCGCGACTGGTACATGGCGGTTTTTTTCTCCGAGTACCTTGAGGACAGGTTTTGAATTCAGCTTTGTGTCAACATCATTCTAAGCGAAACCAGCTTCGGTCTTCCTGACAAGCTTGTGGCGCTTACAAATCTTGTCATGTGGACCTTCAATCTGTTCTATGTGTTGTTGATCAAAACGCTTCCACTTCACTTGAACCCAAACTACTTGAAACCTTCTCAAGGTGCGTCTCGGTTTGCTTGTCGCAATCTTGTGAGACTAATAAAATTGAAATAGGGACCGAAGGAGCTAAAGAAGCAAAATAAGGGAAAATAAGGGAACAAAGTGTCTGTACTGATGGTCGTACTTAATTCTGGTTGGAATTTAAACTGAGGCCCAATCACCCGATCGATCGCAAACAAGTCAACAACCCAATCACCCGATCGATCGCAAACAAGTCAACAAACATAATGCTAACACCCGATTACTGATCGAGGGTCATACCCGACCGCAGCGATGTCATCTGGGGTGAACTCATGCAGCGGCTTGAAGGATGGATGCGCCTCTGCAGCAACGTACGCTTGTTGCACAAATTGCCCTGCTGGTGGTCTTGATGGTGGACCTGCGGTTTGAACTATTGGGCTCAGACCGTACCGGTAGTTGATAGGAGGGAATGGACCCCCTCCGTCTGCGTTTGACCTGAGGTGATAGACATGATCGAAGCTTTTTCCGATGTGAAACCTCATATCAGGCGCCTGAGATTGGCTGACCGGTGGGCGTCCTCTGATGCTTGGGGCCTGCGCAAACGGATGGAGGGAGGGAGAAGCACCATCCATCGTGCTTGACATGTTTTGATATCCGGGAGGAGCGACCGTCTGAGGCAAAGGTTGCGATCCTCGGCCGTGCTGTACGTTATATCCATACGACGATTGGACTGATTGCGCCTGTTGCTGTCCATATACGTTCGAGCTGTGCATTAGAAAGCTGGACTCATTCTGTTTGATCCTGAGCTCCTCGTTCATTTGTTTGACACGTTGCTGAAGTTGTTCATTGTGTGTGCTGAAATTCATGTTGGATTTCTTCAGCGATGACACCAACTCCTGGTTCCAAATCAATCTCATAAATTATGCAGCAATGTACACCTGCAAATTTGATTTTTCGCTTGAGATTCTCTTCAGTTGATCATCCAATGTACGCAGCTCTGTGAACAAGGAACAAAGAGAATCAAAAGAATTAGAATGAGACCGAGGAGAAAATCTGATTTACGCGTCTTCAAGTCAGTATTCTTTGACTCTAATTCGTCGACACGTGACGCGTTTTGACTGTATTCTTCAGTCACGTGCGAGATTTGCCTTCTGAACCTCTCGTTCATGGTCTATTCGTAAAGATAGCTCAAACCAAATGTGCATAGGAAAATTGACCTCTACCTTCAATTCTTCCTTCTCCTTCCTCAGGCTCTGGATTTCACTGTGTAGTCTGAATTCTATGAGAGGCAGAATAGCATTTTGTTTGTCATTCACCGTGTGCTTATCTCCCTTTGCTGCTCCAATTTTTGTTCAATGTCTTCTCGAAAGCTTGAGCTAATAAAGCAGGAATCAGTGAAACATAAACGATTGTGCATTATGAGCACTTGTCTCCCCGAGCTTGGTTCTTCACTTCAACCAACGACTGTTTGAGCGTTTGAATTTCAGCTTGATGAGAATATTGATCTCTTTGTAACTCCGCAATCTTTGCACATGACGTCAGAATAAGTTAGAATTAAGCGATTAATTGTCACCTTTAGGGACAATGAATGACTGATTTCCTTCTCAGCCATCCATTTTGAGCTGAAGCTATCAGACTTTTTCCGTTCAACCATCAATTCGTCCTGAAGCTCCTTGAGATTCTTTTTGTGCTCATCACGTTCTGCGTTGAACTTGTACGAGTAAAACTCTTGTCAAAGCAACCACCAAAAAAGCAAACCATAGACTTCTCCTCCTCGATCAGATTATGAGCTGCATCATGCTCTTTGATCCGCTCTAGCAAATCTCCAATCTTTTGATCCTTTAGATCAACCTCTGCCTTGAGGGTGTGCTGGAAGTCCTTCAGCCTGTGGAGGCGCGAATCACTACAACTGCAGAACATATCGAAAGCTGACCTTTCGATTTCCAATCTTGCTTCAGCAAGATTGTTTTCAGTGATCCGTTTCTCCTCCATACACATCTTGATCTGATGGCTCAAACCTCCACATTCTTCCCTCATCAACTTTGCAATCTCCTCTCGCGCCTTCTAAATGTCAAACACAAAAAACTTTCCTTTTCACACCTGCTGCTCTCTCTTCAGACTGTCTTGAAGGAAACGGTTATCATCTAACAGCAGCTTATACTACAATGACAGTCAAGCGCTTCAACGCAAAACAATCGTTCAGCTCACTCTATTTTCATACATTTCTTGAACGCCTGCTGTTGGGGAGCTGGTAATGGTTGTAGAATACCTTTTGTCATATCAGGGATACGCATGTATAATTGCAACAAGAAGAACCTGGGCTTTGCATCTTGAGATTGGAGGGCCTCAGCATCAATGTCTTTGGCAACCCCATTCGGTACACCCGAAACTCTCCAGCTTTTCTCAGATTCGATAGATGTCGTAGGCGATATTGGACTTGAGAATGAAGACTGATCAACAGAAATGATCACCATTGAAATCACACAAACACTTGAAAATACTCGTGGTGCTGTTTCAGGAAATATGAAAGACTGCTTGGACAGGTGTGAGTAGCACACATCGACTATAATAACACGCACTGGAGGAGGCGGTTCTTTCACAGGTTGGCTGCTCCCGGCAAGAAGGTCTGTCCTGATCCTTCCGTCAATCTCGAGGACGGCAAGAATGATTCTCTGCATGAAGAAATCTAGAACGATTCTCTGCATGAAGAAATCTAGAACGATTCTCTGCATGAAGAAATCTAGAACGATTCTCTGCATCAAGAAATCTAGAACGATTCTCTGCATCAAGAAATCTCTCATCTTTCACCTGCTCTTTCCCTTGTCGTCCTGAAGATACATCTCACAAAACGTTTACAAGAGAACAAGCAAAGGCGAACCAGAAATGACTGAACAGGCGCTGCTGGAGTCGGTGAGGCTTGATGTTGGCCCTACGACAATTAGCAATCAAGCTTTGTTGCATTAATTTTCATGGATGTTCGGCTTGAAAGCACTGAAGATTATTCACCTCGTGTGAATCTCCCATATTTTTTTTCAGCTGACTTTGTTCTCGGACACGAAATATTTCCTTCCTTCAAACACAAACAAAATTGTCAGCAATGTGCGTAGACTTCCATCTCAATCGTAGAAATTTGCAGCGAGCATGATTTAAGGATGTTGTTATGATCTCTCGTGAAAATTCAATTAAATGTCTGGGATTGTGACTCTGAAACAATGGTACAGCTGCCTTTGGTGTGTCAGCGTCTCTCCTGCCTCTTCTCTCCCTTGATCTCATTTTGGTTTCCCTTGTCTTGTATTTGCCCAGCATGCTGCTGACCCTTGTCACGGGCACCGTTCACGGCCCATGGGTTGAGCATCGGCAAGTCTCGTGATCACCCTACCCCCTGAAATGCCCACCCGACCCTACACGCCAGCCAGTACGGTAGTGACATTAGGGGTTGAGTGTGTAGGGTTCAGGGTTCACGGAGATACTGGGCCTCGGCGAACTAATCTCGGACAGAGGCCGGAAGTCCGATCCGGCGGGCGGGCTCGGAACTTCCGGCGCGCCGGGCTACCATCAGTTCTTTACTCAAAGTTAAGTTAAAAATCAGTAGGACTATCAGGCACGACGGGAACACCGCCCGGCACGTTGCCACCCGGCCGGTTTTATTAAGTTAGAGTCAAGTTAGGGTTTACGGGTTTAGGGTTTAGGGTTCAAGGGTTTAAAAAGCCGGGCTTTCCGAGGCTGAGTGGCGCCGGGGTTGCCCCGGGGCGGCCGGATCTTATCAGTTTGCCAGACCGTAGTAAGCCCGGCCCCGGGCCTGACCCGTTCTTCAACGTAGTACTATGACAAGACTGCCAGGCTGATCATCCGAGACCTGAGTCGAAGAGCCGGGCCCATGCCGTTCACAAACCCATGTGCAGCCCCTAGCAAATCTGGTCTTTTTTTTCCTACTTTTTTTGGGGTTCACATGGGGTCCGTATATACACTCCCTGTTGACTACCCCCTGTTTTCACCGATCAAAGGCCCCCGAGGGGCAGAGAGACTGGACATAAGCGGGGTGGGGTGATTTGAATTCCTCTGGCGTGGAACCCTTCCCCCGCCTTGGTTTTAGACTGAGGTACTGCAATTTTAGTTTTACCCATCACATACATGGTAGTATAGATTGTACTGTATGAAAACATATTGGTACAAAAGAGAGGTTTCATGGTACAGAAGTTCCCCCCTCCACCACCCTACCCCCTTTTTATCTCCTCACAGAGGATATTTGAATCCACAGAGAAATCCCTCAATGCTCACTGTTCTGAATACTCACTGTTATGAGCATCCACCAGTCATTTATGTCGCATGACGTTGCTTCCTCAACAGCATCCCGTCACTGTGCGCTGGAGGAACGGGCTTCCTGGCAGTCTCCTCTCCATCAGGACTCGTCGGAGATTCTGTTCCTGGAGCCGCCCCCGGTGTTCGGCCTATGCATACTAGAGCGGACAAGTACGTGCAGCCGGGGTGGGAGCTGGAGAACGCTATCAGGGATGCGACTAGGCTGGCACCAAGAGCTGAGGAGGCTAGTCGTCCTCTTCTACGCTGGCCATGGGATGAAGGCAGGAAGGGCCAAAGAAGACGACCTGATCCCCTGTGAGGTAGGGACGATGGAGACCGAGGAGGAGGTAGAGGACTACACTGTGACTCTCAGTCTGTTTCCTTGTTGTCATCGATGCCTGCAGCCCAAACAGCTTCTTTGGGAGGAAGCTATTTCGAAATTGAAGAGAAGGAAGACGTCAGGGGTGTTGCTTTCAAGTTAGTCAGATTAATCGGACAAGCGAGACTGCTGCAGTCTTTCTATTTGCACAGCATGATGTCAGGGCATGTGGGCGATCAGTTTGTACATTTCTACGAGAAATATGGCATTCAACTAGCCTGACTATTGAACATGTCGTGCATCGAGCATCGACATCAACTTCAGGGAAGAGATGCATATCGAGCTGCTGCCATGATCGGGAACAGCTACATTGGACTCGGAGAAGAAGGAAGCTGCTACTGCATCTAACGGGCAACTTGACCATGTGTGGGATATGCACTGTCCATGCGGTAGTCACTGATGGACCTTCACGAAATGCAGATGACAAGAAGAAATTCAACAATTCGGTTCGAGCACACTTCACTTTGTTGTGGCAGCTCCTTCAAAGTAAATTAAAGTCGCGTTCAATCTGGATGCCTCCAAATCTCTGTGTGAAACGTGCACAATCGTACCATTCTTTCGAACTTGAAAGAGATGCATGTGTATTGCGTCCTCTAATTTCGTTTTCAATTTCGTTTCAAGGTGACTGTCAGTGCGCCCTCGAAATATAACGAACCTGATCCAGGTTCTATCATGGAGGGTTCATCCTTGAAAGGCACAGGAAATTCTCTGTTAATGACAGGATTCTGTAAGAGTGATGTACTGATGGTCCAACTGCACTGGCCTTTTCATCCGGGGTTTCAAGAAGGGCTTCCCACGTTTGCGAAACCAATTAACAATACTACCGTAGTCCTAATCTTGTGCAGATCGATGTTGAGACGGAAGAAATCAGTTTGTTTTCTAGTGTTAAAGAAGTTGACATTCTTCCTTTCCAATTTCGGATGATTCCACTTCGAAATTTCCCATTGACATCAGTAAACCTCACACCATGACATGGTACCAGATTGAATGACATGTCTAAACCTTCAACGTGGTGTAGTAATTCAAAGTGCACAGAATGATCGAAGGCATTTGCTGCAAGGAACAACGGTGCCCCTTGGATGTATCTCATGCGAATGAAGAGGATCAACTTGTTCTCTTGCTCCAATCTCCTCCTTTTGGCAATGCCGAGCGATGAGGCAGCCCTTGACGACGGTGGCCGCCCCGATTGCGCCGCCATTGTCCGTCAAGGCAAGGAGGATTCAAGCGCAACTGGTATTGAAAGTAGTACCATAGGGTATGTGTCGGTACCGTACTGTACTTTCCGTAACTACCGTTAAAATAACTTGTAAAGAGGATTGTTGAAATAAACTAAAACAAATGGGTACTATGAAGTGGGGTCTCTAACTCATTTATCAAAATAGCACGCCTAGAAAAAAAAAAGACCCTACCGAAAAATCTAAGTGCCAAATTAACGAACCTGAGGCCTGAAAGTGAACGGCACTGGTGACCAGCCTCTGACAGCCGGGGAGGCTCCCCGGCGGGCTCGGGCCGGGCGCGGCCGCACCGTCCACCCGGCGTTCAGAACCCTGGCGGCCCCGGCGGCCCGGTCTGCCGCAGCGGCCGCCCTGAGCCTGACTTATTACGGCCCGGGTGCCAGTTCACAGTTAAGTTAAAAATTAGTACGAGGACCGTCCTGACGGGCTGATGCCCCTCTAAAAATATTATTAAAAACCCCTGCTTCCTATTCCTTCCTTACGACCACAATATCCTGCAGTACAATCTCCTTTATTGACTGAAAAAGAAAGCCAAGCCGGAGCAAACAAATCCAAAACCGTGCAAGCGAAACCGTATGCAGTGGTACGACTTTCCTAGTACCCCGATCGTAGCAGTAATTTTCTGCTAAATCTGCCATGTCTGCTGCGGTTGGTGCAAAGCGTCATGCTGACGGTAAGAGGGTGCGTCTGCCTGTTGAACGCCATCCTGAACCTGTTGGTGTAGACTACGACGAGTGGTGCGATCAGATGGCCGCGAAACTTTCAAGCGTCAACCGCCATGCTGCGCAAAGCCTTGCTGTCAACCTAATAGAAGGTTCTCATTCTGTGCGACAAGCTCATGAAGTTGAGAGCAATATCGATCATCGTCCACGAAACAAGAGGTCCAAATACACCCGCAAGTCTTGTGCAGAATGCAAGCTGAAGAAGCGGAAGTGCAGCCAAGAAAGGCCTTGTGTGATGTGCATCATGGCAGGAACAAGCCACAAATGTCTGACAGAGTGCAATGTCTCGTTGTCTACCAGCATCTTCGACGCACGAGAAGCTTATTTCCCAGATGCTTTTGCCCAAGAAGCGTCTCTGCGCGCATTGAAAGATACCTGCGCTTTCAGCGGTGTGAACATCAGCCTTGTACGCCCTCTGTGGGAGCTGGGCTTTGACGTCTCAATGCTCTTCAGAGCTTTCAAGCTCCTTCCGCTCGACCTCAAAGTTGCAGTGGATGAACTAGTTGAACTGATACGCGAGGGTCTCACCAAGAGCTCGATACAAAACCCAGCATATCAGGCTCTCTTGACCCATCAGAGCGGACTGGGCCGAGTGAGCAGATTTCAGCAGAACGAACGAGCGAAGATGTTAGAAACGTTTAATGCAGGGGCATATGAGGAGGACATAGCCTGCTTTGATACGATCGCAAGCAATGATCGATGGGGACATGGACGATGGTTGTCAGTCGAGTTTGACTCGAATTTGAACTGCAAGAGATTGAGGATAGGAGACGAGATGTCGGACCTGTTCGGCTGTCACCACACTGAGATCCTGTCTCGATTCTTCTGCCACGACCTCGTCAACTCGATGAGCGAGTATGAGCTGTTGGTTGCGTGGGTCTCATCCATCTTGTGCTCGTTCAACGCCCAGTCGATCTTTTACATCAAGGTGGAGCGACGCGGCGGTCCAGAGCAAGAAAAACGCATGCTTTACTTGAAATGCTTCCTTGAAAAGAGCTGGAATCATGCTGGCATACACTCCGGCTATACTATTGTCTTTGAATCAGCTTCGCCCGAATCCTACCACTTGTACAAGAACAGATTCCTCCCTCCCTCAATGCAGCAGCACGACCCTGAGAAAGCAGCAAAAAGAGTAGCCATTGCCAGGGAGTCTATCGTATTCATGAGGAAATCAATCACTGTAGGAGAGGACAGGCTTTCCCACTTGGCGAGTGTGATCAAGCATTGTATGGCGGACGTAAGGACGCATCATCCGCTCTTTGTGAACGAAGGGGCAGGTCACTGTGCAAGCATTGAGCTGATGGTGTAGCAACATTGATGCGTGCAAATCAAACAGTCGGTCAGTTGAGGACTTGATTTTTGTGCTCTAGTGCTTCCTCAAGAATGTGTATTTATTCTTGATCAGTTTACTCGACAGAAAGCTATCCTGTGTGCTAAGAGAAAAGCATCTTCCTCATTCAACCTGCAAGAAGGAACACAAGGGGCAGTTTTTCGCGCTTCTAATACCTTCGCTCAGCGTGTTTTGGACTCTGGCTCAACAACATCCATGCGAGTTTTCAGAATCTGAATTCTCCCAGGACATTGCATGTAAACAGTGAGGAGGATTTGAGTCACAGTAGCATCTGCTTCTCGTACAAACTCTCTTATTTTCTGTTTCATGTTCTTCTGTAATTCTTCTCACTGAGTCTCTCTGATGGGGAATGACAATGGAAGTAGGCTTTCATTTTTTCTGGCTTCCCTTCAGAGTTGAGGTATTCATAGTATTGCCCTATCAACTCGTACTGTATAAAGTTCTCGATGTCTGGGGCGAGCCTATGCACTTTCTCAGGAGTTACTGCTGTAATCATCAAATCCCGAGGCTGATTGATTGGCGGCCATTGCAAGCGGTATGGCAACATTTGATAACCTGATTCGGGTATTGTCCAACAACTGAGCGATAGTGCACTGAGGAGTGAACAGATGAGCAATGAAGCTAGATTTGTTTTTGCAGGGTCCAAGTTGGATTGCTTATATTTCGAGGTCTGGCTCGTGCCCGTCGTACAGCAATGAGTAAACATGTGTACCGGTTTGTACCAGCCTCATGCTTTCATTGTATCAATGTGTTGTACGTACGTCTACGACCAGTACACATCTCGTCAGCGTGCGTAGCCTCATGCGACTACTCGCATGATGCTGCCATCACACCCTGTCGTTGACCCACTGGACCAGGCCCGAGGCTGAGAGCTTCGAGCTTTCTCCCAAAAGCTCAAGCTGGGACATCGTATCATGCCGTATTAGCTGCCATACGAGTTCCAGGACGAGTTTTGGCATTGCCGTCGTGCCACTGACGAGTTTCTCCATTACCTGTAGCAGAGGCTCTGCTGTCAGTGTCTTGCAGTGCTCCAGCAGTCGATGGACTTGCCTCGTGTGTAGGTGGTCAAGTGTTTCATATCGCTGCTGAAGTCTGACAGCATCTTGTCACTTCCGGCGTTCACCATATGTAAGTTGACCCATCGAACCAGCAGCTCCTCTTTGGGCAGCTTCAGCAGGGTAGCCAGATCTTCCCCTGGCTTGAGGAGGAGGACGAGCTCTGGGTGCTCCTTGAGGGGAACTTGCTTTTGAGAATCTTGACGATCTGCCAGATAAGCCCGAGAACAAGATGCGGCCGGCCACGCGAAGATGATATCGATGACGGGATATTGTGGATGATGGAGGCATTCTGACACGGGGTTGTGGAAGATGATGGTCTGCGCCTCCAACCTGTACGAGCAGCAGGTCCATCAGCTGGACAAGCTGCGCATCGAGAACAACGAGCTCAAGGATGATAGTCCGGGCCTCGAGATCCCGAAGGCCGTGGCGCTCTGCATCGGGATATAGAAGCATAACAGTCTCCCTATACAGGAGGACACTCAGGTTGCTGGGAGCTTTGAGACAGGTCCCTCGTTGTCTTGCAATTGGATGGCAGGATGGTCACAGCGTCAACTGGAGACGTTCATCGAGGAATGCTTCAACGCAATCAAGAGCCTGCCTCCTACCTTCGCACTCCTTCACTTCTCCGGCCATGTCGTCGTACATCGCAGCACAGGAGAACTTTGGCTGGCTCAGTACTTTCATCATCGTCATCATCATCGTCGTCGTCATCTCATCATCATCATCATCATCATCATCATCAACAACAACCTTCTCATCATCACCATCTCCATCATTGATCTTCTCATCGTCAACTTCGTCATCCTAATCTCAAACATTTCTTGTTCTGTTTCATTCATTTTGAGATTTTCCAGGAAACTTACGGGAAAGACATGGAAACGCTTCACAAGGAGAGCGAGAACATGTAGCATCAGAGAGTGAGGGGTTTTGTTCTGACCTCTGTGCTAGAAAGGAATAGCTGAAATTTGCGATAGAAAACAACGACCTTCTCGAGGGACAGGTGGAGAGGAAGTCAGGATTTGATCTGATCTTATCATCAACTGAGAAGCTCACAGAGAGTTCACGGAGGAGCGAGACAGACTGACAGCGCAAGTAGCTCCGGTACAACAGATAGCAGATGAAGTTGAGACCCAACGATTAAGAACATTGAATGCTTCAGGGAGCAGATCAAAGGTTAAAGAGACTTCGGGAAAGAGATCAAATATACGCCCGGCTGTCAGAGAAATCATCTAGGTCAGGTAGCAACGGGCCCGGCGTTGACTGACACTTGGTCCTGTTCCCCCCCCCCCTCTTCCGGATCCGATTCCCTCCTCCTCTCGGACCCGCGCCTAGGGGCACTGGCTTCGAGCTCTACGACGACCTGCGATTGCCTGTTCGTGCTCGCCAAGGCTCTCTGCCGCGGAGCGACGGGCTTGGAGGAAAGAAAGGCATCGTCGGAATAGAAGGGGGAACGTTGAGGCAGCTGCTGAGTTGATTGCTGATTAGGAAGCTAACTGAGGTGTGGGAGCACGGGCCCCAGCCTGAGGCAACTTGAAGCCGCTGAGCCTCGGATTGCCCCGGCCCGGGCCGTCGGCGGCCCGGCCGGGCCGGACCTCATAGATCTTCAGGCTGGGCAGGCTGGATCTTTCATGGGTGGGTCATACATTTATGTATGGGTGGGGTTGCATCGATGGGTTCTGAGTACCCCTCCATGATATGGGTTTTTATGGGGTATTTACATTACAGTAGGTAGGGGTCACGAAGCCAGCCTAGGTAGCCCACAGGGGTGGATGGAGGATGAGAGCGGCAACGCCACATGCAGACGTGATGCATCGAGAGCGACGAGGAGAGAGGAAGTGAGGAGAGCAAAGATGATGCTGGAAGAGAGCAAGAAACTGAGTGTGAGAGAGTGATAGAGTCAGGTAGATCGTAGACAGGAAGGAGGGAGCAGGGAAACTCAGATGGGAACTTGGGGTGCAAGCAGGGATGGAGGGGATGCACGCGCTTGCCAGCATTGAGAGAACAGGTATATCATACGCCTAGGGCCAAGCTCGTTGCCTCTCAAGTAGGTACCAGCACTCACTCGACTGAACGTACCCATTGAGCCTTTCAAGCAGAACCTGGGCTCAAGGTGAGGAGAACACCAGAGATAGGAGATCATTGAAGCTCGTCAAGCCATGGAACAGACCAACCCCGCAATGTCGTTGTACTCCAGCGCTTGCCAACTCCCTTGTACTCACTCTTTGTTTAGCGGGAACAATGCATATCAGTCCACTTACGTGTATGGAGGGACTCAGCAGGTAAGATTGATCTATAAATCCTGAATGCCTTGCACAGCAAATATGAAAGCGAGTTTGTGACATGTTGATTATGGTGTAGGCGTATAACCCATATGATGCTTACAATCAAGGAGAAGCTGCGACATTTCAATGGCCAGCAAATTCACAATCATCGTAAGTTGCTCCATTTGTCATCACACTCGCTTTGATTTGATTTGCTCTTTGCCGCTCTGCGCAGGGGTGGCGAAAATCAAGCAAGCTCCATGCAGGTCCTCCTCCTCCTCCTCCTCCATCCTTCGACGTATGTTCTGATTTCCTCGATCACAGCAAAACTTCCAGCAGCAGGCAAGTTGGAATGCCAATGCCAACCAAACCACCGCGTACAACCAGACTGTGAGACTTGTCTTGCACACTTGATTGCGAACAAGTCGATGCATATTCACGGATGGTGCAGTATGCTAGCAACCAACCGGTACAGCAAGCTGCAACCCCCCAGGTTTCCGGGCAGCAGCAGGTGATCGTGCACTTGTCCCTTGTCTGGGAGCTCACCGTCACCCTCCAGGCACTACCTGCTGCTGTCCCAGATCCCAGTGGATATGGCACTTGGGAACCTGCGACTGATCCCAAGACTAACAGAGTCTACTGGGTCAACCATGCTCTACAGAAAACTAGCTGGGATCCTCCTGCGGCTTCCGCACAAGCTTACTATCAGCAGAACCAATACGCTTACGGCTATCAGTACCCTGTATGCTACCATCCATTCTACTAGTACCCGTCCATTCTTCTTACTTGAGCAAAGCAGGCGGCGTATACAGCTCCCCAGCAGGGATACTATCATCCCGGTGCTTACAACCAGTGGCCCTACGCCCAACAGGCAGCAGCAGCACCTGCTGCACAAGCAGCTCAGAAGGCTGCGGTACCAGCCATGACCATCAACGCTAACGCAGCAAAAGCCTTCAGCTGGTCCGCCCCGAAACCGAAGGCGAAGCCCGTCAACCCGCAAGAACAGTTCAAATGGAGCGATGGCAGAGATTATGGGGACAAGTCAGACAACTATGACATGAATTTCCCTTCCCTTCACGATGCAGCCGCTTCAGTTGCCAGCAAGCTAGAGGCAAAGCAAGCGGAGCAGCAGTCTCAAATTAAATCTCCTGCGAAACCAGCAGTAGCCGCAGAACCAGCAAACGTTCAACATGCTCCTGCTGCAAACCAATGGCCACCGAAACTCCAGGTACACGGTAGACTAGACATTGCATGCTGTTGCTGATTTCTGCCTTTCGCCAGTCGTTTGTGCAGAAATGCTTTTCGGCATGTGAGAATGAGTACGAGAGAACGTGCATGGCTGGTGCGCTCAAGTCGATCGTTCAAAATGCGGAGAAGAACAACAGGTTGTGGGTGACTGACTGGGATGCTCAGCCGATTCCCCGCGTGGCAAACGCGAGCGGAAAGACGAAAGAGAGTCAAGAGAAGAAGTCTGAAAGCCATGCACAGAAATCCAAGAAGAAGAAGCGAGGAGGTGTCATGGCAGACATCGAGAATGAAGCTGAGAAGGAGGCAAGAGAGAAGCGGCATCGACGCTTCATCGACATGGAGAGAGGATACGTCCCGACGGGGGGAGGTGCGCATGGAACTGACGACGATATCAAGTTCATGTCATCAGAGGCAATCGTGGGCACTTGCATGGAGATGGAGAAGCAGTACATCCGACTGCAGTCGATGCCTGACCCCTCTACTGTTCGCCCTGAACGCGTTCTCGTGAAATGGGCTGAAAGGCTCAAGGTGAAGTACGACACGGACGAGGCTGACTGGGAGTGGATTTCGGACCAGTTCAAGGCGATCAGGCAAGATATGGTCATCCAACACATCAGGAACGCAAACTCGGTGCTGGTATACGAGTCCAACGGGCGGCTGGCGATGCTGGAGCACGACTTCGGTGAGTTTTATAAGATCCAGAGTTACTTGATGGGGCTGTACGCGGACACGCGAGCAAAGGAGAATGAGGTGAACAGGCTTGAGTGCATAAGAGAAGTTTTGACACAGAGAAGGCGGAGTTTATGGCGTACAGGCTCTTCTACTGGATGATGCAGAACAACACAGTGGACATGGTGAAGGACATTCGAAACATGCCGATGGAGCTCAAGGTACCCGATGCTTGAGGAGGTCCACCTTGTCACCACAAGTCTCACAGACACATCCTTACGTCTCTCACGCGCTCAGCTTGCACCGAGCTCTAGAGCTCTCGGATTACGTCTCCTTCTTCCGCCTGTGAGTTAAACCGTCTTGCACCCACGCCTTGTCCTCTTCTCACGTCCGAACTCGCAGGTTCGCCAAGACGCCAAACCATGGAAAGTGCATCGTGTGCATATTGCGCGACAGGATGAGGAGCAGAGCTCTGCGCGTGATCCTCCGCTCCTACAAACCCTCGATCCCGCTGGACTTCCTGCGAGATCAGCTTGCGTTCAAGGTCAGAAGTGAGGTAGACGGGCAGAGCTGATGCAGAGAAGCAGGTGAAGGGAGAAGAGGAAGGAGACGAGACGGAGGAATGGTATTCTTTTCTTAAAGAGAACTGCGTGGTGGCGGTGGAGGGAGACGACAGTCAAGTGGACGTCAAAGCGACGTCAGAGGCTCTTTCCTCCGCCGACCGGAACGTTTAGGACTTGATGGGTGACCCGATTGTGATTGATTTCTTGACTGAAGTAACGCGGATGGACGGGATGGAGGACAGCACTGAGAGCTTAAGATGAAACTTAAGAGATCATCTCGGTTGGAGCTGGAGAATCTGGAAGTGGAATGAGTAGTCGAGTTTCTTTCGAACTGACCTTGACAGCGTTCAGCATGGCGTCCTGCTGCGGCCTCGCTGGTGGAGAGGAAGCGCCGATGGTGTCGAAGAAGTCAGAACCAGCAACAAGTGCGGCAGGGAGGATGCGGCTAGAGGGTCAGGTCTAGGACGAGGAACAGGAGCAGTCGAGAATGGAGGGGAGCAGAGAGAAGCAGAGGGAGGGAGGCAGGAGTAGGAGTAGGAGCAGGAGGAAGAGCAGGATAGGGAAACCGTCAAAGTAAATAGGTTTAGTCGAACTTCTTGATTCGGGATTTGAAAACATCGAGTTACGTTGAAGTCGTGAGTGCTCTTCCTTCCTCCCTCCCGCTCGTGCTCGTTCTCTCCTGTGTATTGAAGCACATCCTCGATCCTTCAGGCTGCTGAGGCAAAGCACGCGTCCCACTGCCTGGATCAGAGTCAAGGTGATGCAGAAGGTTGTTGGCGAGGGGAAGAAGAAAGAATGGAAGGAGAAAGGGGCAAGAAGGGATGAGGAGGATGAGGGTCAAGCAGAAAGAGGGTTGTACTTGCAGCGCACATCTTGTCCCTTGAGGACGCGCATGATTGGGGTGAAGGGAGGCAGCCCCTTGCTGGCGATGAAAGCCTGCGCTTTGAGCATGCAGCATGCCTTCTCCTGCTGCGGAGCTGCGGAGCCGACGGACACGAAGATCTTAGTTCCGCAGTTTACCAGCATGACGTCATCGTCGGCGAGCTGATCTGGGCGGAGGAGGCCATCAGCGACCTTGACGAACTCTAGTGAATCGTCCTCCATGCTGTACAGCTCCACCACCCGGCAGCTCTCCGTGTCTCGCTTCGCGTGCTCCACGGGCCCCTTGACTGAGCAGCCGATCTCACCTCCCAGCATCTGCCAGAACTCGGGCTCATCCTCCGCATCTACACACTTGCAGCGCCCGTTCCTCTCGCCCTCCATCTCCTTGGCTACAGTCGCCGCCTTGTTCTTCTCAAAGGGATCCGACTCGTCGCCGCGGTAGATGAACACCTTGCTCCCGCTGTCGAGGAGGAAGCAGTCCCCGCGGTTTAAACTGTCCAGCCCCATCGCCACCTCCGAGCACAGCATGACTCCAGCTTCCCTCCTCACCCAGAACAGCCGCGGGCTGAATTCCTGCTGCTCCACCTTGCGAAAGCCGCTGGCATGCCCGCCCTCAAGGATCTGAATGCTACCAGGGCAGACACCACCGGAGCCAAAGTAGCTCCTGCTCCAAGGTAAGAGGAGAGAGAGGATAAGAGATGCAGAGAGAAGCGGGATGACAGGACGGGGAGTAAGTGAAGGAGTGAGGGGAGTAGGAGGAGTTAGAGTAGTAGGAGGGTGAGCAGGAGCAGAGGAGGAGGAGGGGCAAGGCAGAGGCAGGGACAGAGGTCTAACAGGAAAAGATCAGACTCGTAGCCTTCCATCTCCCGATACTGCACTGGAGCTCCGCCCAGCAGGTCGTCTAGCTCGACAGTCTTGTACGCGGCTACCTGGACCTGCAGTCAGGAAAGGGGAGAGGAGGAGGAGAGAAACAGACCCCGTACTCGTCTGCCGTGCTCTCCGATCCAATCCAATAGTGCACGTTCCAGCGAAGAGAGTCCGCTGAGAGCGCGTGAGGAGCGAGGTAGGTAGGAAGGGATTTAGGGGAGCAGGAGGGATGTGAAGGAAGTCAGCAAGAGGGAGCGGAAGAGGAAGGGGACCGAGGTGGAAGAGCAAGAAAGGAGGGAGAGGAGGGAGGGAGAGCAGAACAGTTGATTACTCTCGGAGTCTGTGTACGTGTAGAGCAAGATGTATGAGTCGCCTCTGTAGAACTTCCTGTGCCCAACATGTCATGGAGCGTGTCATCGACAGCCAAGTCTTTGGGGAGAAAGGGAGAAAGGGAAAAGGATAGGAAGAGGGAAGGGAAGAATTAGACGGAGAAAGGGAGGGATGGAAGAGAATGATGATGAAGAAGAATTGAGAAGAAGCAGGACTGGTGAAGTTGGGGTGAGACAACGAAGGAGAAGGAGGGAGGGAGGGAGGGAGGGAGGGAGGGGAAGGGACAGGGAGGGAGGGAGGGAGGAGTAACGTAGAAGTCAACCATGAAGAGCTCTACAAAGGCAAAGCTCATGCAACAATCAGGTCCTACAATCAAGAACAGCAAACTGTAGACATGCACATACAGAAAGTTCATCGATCGGACCCATAGGAGAGACAGGAAAGAATGATATGGGAGCGAACTACCTGTAATCTTCTGCAGGCACTCTCTTGATTCCGAAGTCAGGGTTGTCGTTTTCTGTTCGACTGTCCACGTCCTCCATCATTATTTTGAGATCTTCTCCCTCTCCCTCTCCCCCTCTCTCCCTCTTCCTTCCCTCATGTCCCTTGCTTCCTCCTTCACCTGTTCTCGACCCTCCAGATCTCAAGGCCAGGTTTGCTGCCAGCCTGGAGACGGGGATGAGCTGATAGCAGACAAGACTCACTCACATTCTCCCACTCCTTCTCCGTCTTGGCAGCCTGACAGTCCAGCGTCACTCGCCTGAAGCCTCCTCCTCACTTTGCTCACCATCATGCGTTGAGCCTTGTCAATCGAGCTGCCGATATCCTCAACATTAGAGTCCGCTGCAGAGATTGTCAGATAGCGATGAAAGCACACCTCGCTAAATGTCTACATGTCTTCCTTCTTCTCTCCTTCTCTCTGCATCCTCACGTATCTCATATCCTCTCACTCTCCTTTATCTGTCCACTTTCCTTACATCTTATAGTTCTTTCCACCACTGCATCTCTCCAGTCTCCCTCGTTTCCTCTTTTGATCACCTCCACTATGATTTGCTCCTCCTCCTCCTCCTCCTCCTCCTCCTCCTCCTCCTCCTCCTCCTCCTCCTCCTCCTCCTCCTCCTACCGATCGTATGCTTCTTGGCCTTGAGCATGGTGTGCTGTAGATTCGTTAACTTTGTGGTCAAGGGTCGCCAGCAAACTAGCTAAAACGCCTCTGAACTAAACCTGGCCGGCTCCGACTGCAGTCTCTTTACTCACCAGCCTCGGAAGTTAGTTCAGTGACTGAAAATATCAGTTCGAGGAGGCTTGACCCTGACACTGTTGCACAGGCCATACGGCGAGAAGAGAACTGAGACAGTGAGAACCAACCTTCATGTTGCCGATTGCTGTACCTCAAACTGCCGCTGAGTATTGGTAGTGGAGGCGAATGAGAGGAGTAGATGTATTTGCAAACAAGTTACTCACAGATCAGTCACTGTTGGCTCTAGATATTCATCTACATTGACCTTTAAAGCTAGATCAAGTTACGTTGAACTTCGGAAGTTTGAGTCATGTAAGTTGATTTTCATGTAAGTTGATCATGAAGCAGAGTTTGGTCCACGTTCACCAGTCAGTACCCCTCTGATCTTCTTCACCAATGTGGTCCATCTTAGCTGTTGGCCACCCAGTCGAGAGCGAATGGACCCATCTATCTTCAACCAGGCGAAGAACGAGCTTTCGTATCTCAAGAACACTTCCTGACATTCTTCCAGTAGAGCTGGCCCTGCGGGTAGTGTCTTCAGCCTCTGTAGTTGCTGCATCCGCTGCTCACGCGACCCCGTTTGATCACGGGAGATCACATCCCTCGCGTGCTTTTCAAAGCTCTCAACAAGGAATTTGATGTCTGAGAATCTTTTTTTGTTGTTTTTGCCATTCAACGAACTCGCAGATACAAGCCGGAGCGGTGGGATCCGTTTGCTCGCGTTCCCACAAAACCACATGTTCCATACCACCATAGCGGTTCCAAACTCCTCGGTCAGCATAATGTCGCTTTGCTGTGGACCCGCCCCGGCCCCCGCCTCATTCTGGTGTTGCAATCTTGATGCCTGTTCTTCTGTGATGTTTGACACGTTTCTCACAAGTCCGGCGCCTGACGCAGGGCTGCCTCGCGGTGGGTGAGAGGGTTGATGATAAGGAGTTTGATTGCTGCGCCCGCCGGTTTCCTCTAGCAGTACTTCCTGAATGACCTCGCGCAAGGTTTGCCGTAGGCATTCTTTCAAGCTTTCCTTGTCACTCTCGGTCACCCTGAATCCAGTAGTAGCTCCTTCGCCCCCTTGCACTGCTGAGGGAACCTGTTGCCTAAATCTGTTCATGTATTGGTTCATTTCAACCATGTCCTGCTGTATCTTGGAAAGAGATGACAAAAGCTCGTCACTCTGTATGTATTGTTGTACATGAGGAGGGATTCCTGTAGATTCCATTCTGCCTCTCGCTTCCTTGGGCATACAGCACACAACCTTGGACTTCAATGCGACAAGACATTCTTGTTCACGAAACAAGGTAGATTGCCATAGAATATGCTGTGGTTCAAGATTCGCTTTGAGAAAATCAACATGATGCAGGACTGAAGCCAAGACAAACTCCGCCACGCGATTCATGGATGCTGGTAAGGTTGGAAAGCACAAATCAATCATTTGCGTGAGAAATTCATCTCGCTGAGTGAAATGTGGTGGGAGAATAGCGAACTCAGTTTGGTGAATAGGCAACCCACAGACCGTCCTGCCCACATAACAATCACCTGCAGCTTCACAGCGAGAATTGCTTTTCAACATCGCTCCATCTGACTGTCTCCCTGACACTGCCGCACTGGGAGGGCCGTGGGTACTTCCCACGCTGCAGTATTCCGCCGCTCCTTTGGAGAACGAGGCGCTGCCAAAGTCCTCGGCACGCAGCCCCAACGATTTCATGTGAGCACGAACAGCCATCTGAAATCGATCCTCATCAGGCTCTTCATTTTCCACATTGCCGATACTCCGGGCCCTCTGCCGGTCCTCCGGGGGTGACAAGATTTTTGAAAAGATTTGCAAGAATCGTTTGCTCTGCGATCGACCTGGAAACAGGATTGTTCTATCTGGTAGGTAGCACAACAAGTAAATCCCCAATGCCAAGATGGGGCAGATCTCAGGGCAGGTAGGGTTGGCATAAACCCTCCTGGGATCCCCTGGACGGCCCCCAGTTGTCTGGCCCGTTTTGGAATGTGAAAAGAAGATTTGAAGATGATCTTCGTCCCAGCACATGTGATCGAATTGAATGCTTTCAGCACTTCCTGCCTTGCACATTAGATTCCAACAAAATATCATGTACGTCCTTGCGAAGACGTACATTCTTTTCTGAGAAAACAGCATGTTCCTAGCCAAGAGACGGTAAGTCGTCATGCTGACTGGCTTTTTGCCTCCTATGGTTTTGGGTGCATCACTTGCGTTGGAGGTATTGCAGATCTCCTTCAGTCGGCTGAAGAAATCGTGCAAGTCGATCTTCATCTGTGATGGAATTGGTTGTTCAAAAGCTTTGAAGAGGCAGGACAGAGCGGTACGATGATTGGAATACGATGCAAGTCCATTTTCTGTTGTCTCCTGTAGGTGCTTAATCCACATCAAAAAGTCCTCAGACGTGAATTCGTCAAACTTGATGGGATGAATCCTTGGTGCAGTGCCTGCCAAATTGACTTCTCGTCAGCTTCTAATGAGCAATGCAGTGATCACAAAATTGCCTGTGCTTTCTAACCAGATCTCCAATAATGCAGCTCGTGTTCCTTTCTTCGTTGGCAAGGGTGGGCAATCGTCGGAGGCAGGTTCCAGTTGCCTTTCTATCATGGCCTTGAACTCAGGAGTGAGCAGGTTGGGTTTGTGTTGATAGATGAATCGCATGAAAGCGCTCATGCTGGAAACGTACATTGCTCTTGAATTGTCACTGAAGCTCTCTGCTGATCTATCCTGTCGTGGACGTCTCTCTGCATCTGAACGCCTTGCATTCCTTCTCCCTCCTTGTGCTTCAGAGTCATTTGCTTGAATCTGAATGGCTGCGGCTGGTTCAACCTGCATACTCATAGGACCTTGAGAATGATCAGCTGCCTGATCGCGTCTCTCAGCTGCATTATCATGATCCACCTGCATCTTTGTCGGCAAAACAAATATTGATAATAAATTGAAATTTCTGAAAGTTGATATTCAAATTATCAAGGGTATAATTTTGAATATATTGAAAATTTTGAACCCGGAAACGTATTTTGGATCAGGCCTGCCTCGTGGGCCCCAGCGGGCTGAAATATCTATTACCTAATTCAGTTCTTGCCCGACGAATCCCCTTATAAACCAATATGCTAGCACTGGCCGCGTCTTTCCATGCGTCCATGCGACACATCTCATCGCCCTGCTGCTTCTCTTCTCCTTCTACATCTTCCCTTCAATGCTATCCTTCGCGCTCATCTCCTTCCGCTTTCTGCTACCATCCCTTCCTCACCTCTTTCCATTCCTCCCCATCACACCAACCTTCCCTCTCCAAGCACGCAAAATCCGTGACGAGCAGGGTCCGCATGCAGCAGCAGTCAGAAGCGAGATCGTTGCAACCCAATCTCCTGAGCAAGTACACGAGCGTCTTCGTTGTACTCCCACTCTTGTCCAACGTGTTTCCCTACCTCATCACAATGGCGCAAGCAGCAACCGAACAAGATGAAAGAAGAACGCTCATCATCCTGTTCCTGATTTTGAAGAGGGTGTATCTCTACTGCATGGCCATTAGCATAGTCGATCTTGCGGCTCTGCGATCAGTTGATCTTCCATCATCTTTGGGCAGCAGACTCAAGTTACTCAACGATGAGATCTTGCAATCCGTTGGAACAGCAAACATCTCCAAGACCTTCAATGATGGAGAGGTGATCATCGAATGCAATTCTCATCTAAAACTGGCACAGGTGGCCAAACAAGCTTATGCAAAGCTTGATAATGTCAGTGGTGTCAGCATAGCCTTCTTTCTCCCTGCATTCCTAGCCTTCTCCTTGTTTTCGTCCTTCTTCTTGTTTGGTTCAACATTATCCAACATGGATACGAGCAGTTCGCTCCTCTCTAGCGAGGTGTTACAGAGCCTGAAAAGATCACTGAATGTTTTGCCTGTGCTGGTTTGTCATCTTGCCTGGTGCAGCGTTGTTTCTTACAGTTCACTTGCAGTCTGGAGCTGGTAATTTTGCAGTTTGCACCCTTTTCTTTCAAGTGGAGGTACGGAACTTTCTGTCCTGGCTGGGAGTTCAGGCGAAAGACAATGAGGATGGCCAAAAGACTAGTGTATCGAACCAGATCCCTCTCCTCTTGAGCACTGCTGGGGTCCTGTTCGCATTCCTGGCACCTTCCAGTGTCGCTTGGCCCATGAGGTGTTGCTGCACGCATCAGCTCTCGGTTACTGACTTCAGCTGAAAGAAACGCCATCAACAGCTGTATTGCCATCACGGCTGCGCGTTCAGTTCAGCTCGCGTCACTTCCCGTCACTGTCGCTGCTCTTGGAGGATTGGTTCCTTCACTTAGTCCGCGCGATCTCTGTACCCCATGACTGGAATGAAGGTGGCGTATGACCTTTTCGGGGTCTATGGATCTTCTTTCCTCGTTCCTCCTGCTTCAGCTGCTGAACCAGCAGCCTCTGTAATGGAGTCTGTGGGTAAGGTTTGTTGCATACTGAATCTTGACAGTGACATTTTGATAAGCTAGAGCCAAGCTCTCGGGATCGTCATGGCAGCCTGGGCTGCTTGAAGTTGTGATTGATGGAAAGCCAACGGACGCACTTGGACTTGCAGACGCTGTCTTCCCGGTAGATGTAATATTTCTGTTCTCCATCACTCAATACTTCCAGGCAATGTTGACCGGATGGGCAGCAAGATTTGACAAGGACAAAACAAAGGAATCGGAAACAACTTCTCCGGGCGAGGGTAAGACCGCCATAAAGGGTGCAAGGAATCATGAGATTATGGATGATTTGCAGGACAAGTAGATGTACAAGAGAAGAGCAACTGGTACCTTCAAGCATCTCTCGGGGGGTGAGTTGTGTGGTGTCTCTAGCTACATAATTTAATCATCATCCCTGTCCAGATATTCCGTGGGATGTTTCTTATGCGAAGCTTTCAACTCTGGAGCAGGACAACCGGCTCTACTTTTCTTGGTTCCTTCAACTTTCTTGAGCATTCTGGTTGCTGCTACCTTGAAGTCTGAGCTCGGAAAGATATGGAAATAGCCCAGCGGAATAAACTGCCTTGTTCAACCCTATGGCCACGGTATTGCCCGACTCGGACACGGTCACGCCGTCAAATCTCAGTACATACTGTTCCTTGCAGAACGGACTGACCCTGTAGATTCGTACGTCCTAGCATGATCGCTGCGGCAAGTTCAAATGCTCCAGTTTGGCTCGCTTCGAAGCGGCCCTCCCTGCTCCTGATCGCTGCCCTAAACACTTGTAGCCTCTCCTTGAACTGTACCGTGAACTACTCGACTATCAAGTCGGCACCAGCATTCTAGTAGATGTGTCCAGTACGCTATCTGTATTTTTCCTTGTACAAAGATCACCTACAATACTCTAGCAGTGGTACTCTAGTCAGAACTAGTACTAGCTAAGTAAATGATACACTGATTGAAAATGTGATGAGTATTCCTATCTGAGTCACTTGCTTTGTGAGATGCAAGTGACTGAAACCTGTGAGAGGGAGAATTCTGCTTGGGGTCTTTAATCTTTAGTTCTTTATCTGTAGTTCTTCATGCCATATCGGGTGGACCTAAACCCTAAACCATGATGTTTCGGATGGTTTCGATTTTTTCACTAAAAATGTGAAGCATTCTTTGAGGGATCTCCAGGTTTTAAGTTGACTTTGGAAACAAACCAGCACTTCTGTGAAGAATGTGAAAAACACATGTCGGCAGCAAGACAGCATGACTTTGAAATAGTTAATGGCTTGCACCAGTCAAGCACTGATGTATTCAACCAATGTCAAGCTCAAGACTAATCAAGCTTCATCTGCTGGACATCCCATCATCCTTAAAGGCTCAGGAGGAGGCTTCATTAGACGCATTTCTCACCTTACAGGGTCAAGAGCTTAACGTATCGGTATCATTCCAGGAGGCCCGAGGACAGCTCAGGCCTGCAAGCTGTGGAAATAGGATTGAGGCACCGGGGGTCCTGTTTGAAGATTTCATGAGAGAGTGGAGCAAGGAGTCAAGAGACTCGCGGGGTTCTGGTCACGGCTGCTGGCTCACGGTGTTGCCCGGGCAGACATCACTGTCACTGATGAGTCACGCCCTGCAGCCGTGACCTGTCTCAAAATGACGGCTGATTTTGCCTGACGGCCGATTTCGCAACTGTTGGTTGATTCCGTGATTCCGAGCCGCATGTTCGACCCCTGTTGAGAACCTTTGGTGGTCCAGGTAGGTGGGGGTGGGGCGGAAGGTGGCGGATTTTCATCGTGCGACCGTACGGAAAGGAGGCTGCACGATTAGATCCGCATCTCTTCGCGAGAAGTCACGTACCATCCCCTGCCTGTCACGTCATGAAAGATTCTTTGGTACTGCCAATCGACCTCTTCGTTATTTACTACAGGGAATCAAACTTGAAATCATATCTTTCCGTTCTCGAGAGTGTAATCGTTGCATGGACCTCGCATGGTCGACGTCTTCCTCAACTTCATAGGAGTACCTACCCATTCCACAAGACCACCCCCACCTTTAAGTATAAGTCACACGAAGGATATGAGGTAGGGTGTCCCTTGCAACAAGGGTAGGGTTCACCCATTGTTCCTAAAAAAACAAATAGTGCGACATTTCCCTCCGTTCCCCAAATCCTCCGCCCCCTTGTCCCTCCCCTACTTATACTTCATCGCAGTGCTCTAGCACCCTCAATCCCTTCAGCCTCTTCAGCCTTGTATGGTATTCGAAGTCCCCAGCCAAGTGCATATCTCTCACACCGATCTTCCTACTCCCCCTTCAATGCGTGGACCTGCTCCTGATAAGCTCAACAACATTTCAGCATTGGACACTGACCGAACCGTTCGTCTTCTCACAAGACAGAAGCGAGAAAGTCCAACAGAGTATCCCAAGGAAGTAGTCATAACCTTGGCGACTATAGCACCATTGTTCAAGCTGCAGCAATCGGAGGCAGCGAAGTCCTTGGTACTTGTGATTTTTTTCACTTGAAATTTGGTGTTGTGACTGTAGCCCACAGGGAATCTCGTTATCGGCTTTGAAGAATGTTTGCCGAAGACTAGGCGTACAGAAATGGCCCTATCAGCGGAAATATAAATCAAGTTTCACTGTGGAAGGGTCATGGAAGGGAGAACTGCAGGAGCTGTTTGAAGAAGCCTTGGATCATGTTCAACGATCGTCGAGGCCAAAATGCTTCTCAACTCATTATCGCTGAGCCACAGAACAATGATTTGGATAACACAAGCTATCAGTGCTCAAAATGCTGCATAAGGATGGCAATCGAAAGCGATGATACTGTCTCTCTACTCTATCGGGTCAAAAGTAAAGCTTGACTGAAGCTGTCACCCCCACATGTCTTATCGGAATGTTGTAGCCAAAAACCACAGTTTTGTACTTTGTTCACTTTGGCAGTAATCAATAGCAGTTGAAATCCAAGATGTGGCAAATGCGATGGCGTGAAGTCGCATTGAAGCAACATGACAGTGCAAATTCTTTGCAAAACGTGGACAGCCTGTTGTTGTTTCCAAATTCGAAGAACTGGCTAGACTCCCCGCCATATCATGTGTTGACTAGCTGAGTGGAGAACGCAAGAAATTGATAGATCTACATCATGAAATTGAATGCATAGTGGACACAGAGGAATATTTGTTGGCTATCGTAAAATTTTCAATAAATCACATTGAGCAGAACGCAAGAGTGATACAAACTGCCAGCGTAGTCATCGTGACGAAACCATTAGGATTAGAAGCAGCTGAGTTTTGCAAGTTTTCTGCGAGCAAACATCTTGAGCATGAAATTTACAATGTCAAATATTTACCTCGAGGCGTGTAGGAGTACCAAGCACCTGCTCGAGGTTGCCAGGCTCTCACGTCTGCACTAAGCTTGACCCCAAATCCCTGAGTTCCTTGTTCACAGGAGAATGAGCGACGTTGATATCACGTTACCTTGAAGTGAAAATCGTATTTCTGTTCCTTGTTGTGGGATTTCTCAACCTTCGCACCGGGCACGCGTCTGATACATCGACATTAGTATACGATGCGGCTACAGTGACTATGTCAACCTGGCTTCGGAGTGCTTGTCCATTCTCTTGCCCTCCTTCTTGGACGGACGCCAAGTGCTCTGGTGCGCATGCAGATCGTCTTTCGCCAGATGCGCAGGGGGCACGAGGCGATGGTTCGCATGGAGTAGTTGGACCTTGGACACCTTCTTGTGTGAGACTGGAGAATGCCTCGTCTCCATGCTCGCCTTGATTTGCGACAGCACGGCACTTCCTTCTTGCATTATCCTCCTAATTTCTGATCGTCGCTGCTCGGCAAAAAAGGATTGCGGGTCCCTGACTGCCTGGCGCGGGGGGTACTCAAGGACAGAAGCCGGAGCTTCAAAGGATACACTTCCTCTGTAAGGAACAAACCTCGATTCCTCTGGTACCGGCACAAAGGTCACGAGCGGCGCTGAGTGAGCATACATTCCAGTTAGGTCTGTGCCCATCACCGAGGCAGGGAGAGGAGAGCTAAGAAGAGCCTGCTCCTTCGCCCGGTGCAAACTTACAAGGACAACCAGCAGACCGAGGACCATTGCGGCAAGCAAGCAACCTTGCCGCATTGGACCCTCGAGCATGGCTGGATACTGCTGGCCCTGGTAGTTCCTGACTGCGAGTTTTAGCCTGTGATGAACGTGAGCCAAGGATGACACGAAGCGCGCCTATCATGAAGGGAAACCCCCTTGTCTAAAAGGGCTAAAGCACATCCGCGCTCGTCAATGGGGTACGACCACTTGTACATTGCAGAAACCTCATCTGCGATACACATTGCCTGCGCTTACTCTCATGCTCTCACCCTCATGTTCTTGCTATCGTTATCTTACTCTCAATTCCATTCTCTCATATCTCCTCTCTCATATATCTGTCTCATACCATCTCGCTCATGTTCTTGCTCTCGTGTTCATGCACTCTTAACCTCTTGCCGCCCCTACCAACAGCTCCAACTCTCTTCTCCTTCCCCCGCTGCCCCGCATTCCCGATATGTGAAGAGTCGAAACGTGACCGCGGCAGATGGCGATCCATAAAGACTGAGAACCGGAGCGGGCCCGGATTGGTCATTGTATCTTCAGGGATACTTCTGATGCCATTTCCAATCCAATGCGTCCTCATCAGCGAACGAATCTAGCCAGACTTGCTTGACTCTCACCTCCTCCTCCTCCCCACATCCACATCCTCTCCTCCATCGTTCTTTCCCTTCAGCACTGTCCTCACCTCTCTTCTGCCCTCCTCTTCCAGTCTCTTGTCACCCTACTCACTCCTTGTCTCGCGCGATCCCATCCTTCTTGCCCTTGCCCTTCCCTCGAAAGCCTCCTCGTATCAATGCACCCCCACCAACTCCCCTTTCCCGCTACCTGCATGTCTTTCCGCTTCCACCACTCCATTTATCCATCCCTCTCCCTCTATCGCGAGCACATAAATCTTCTCGTTTAGTTGACAATGCTCACCTGCTAACTTTGCCCTTTTTGTTCAGGAAGGAAAGCGATTTAGTAGAATGAAGGGAAACGGCCCTGGGAATGATCTGCCCTCCTGCATCTCTCGTGATCCTCAACATCATCTGCATCAAATGCGGCGACAAAGTCAAGTCTCTAGATAGCAAGAAAGCATGAAATGCATCGATAGCAATCATGGTTGTTGGTAGGCAATCCCCAGGGCTGGAGCTATTCATTCAAATTTCTTTCTTCTCTGTTCTCCAACTGCAAACAACTGACAGCAGCATCGCCCGACAGCTTTCAGTTCCCTTCCAGCATGCCACGTTGCGCGTTCGTGGTGGTTGTGGAGCTCTTACTGACAGCATATTCGTGGCAAGTGACGGGCAGTTCTTCCGAAGGTTGAACACAACCGCCGCTGGCAGTGAGCAGATGGAGGACGACTCGTTGCCTGCGGTCAAGATCATGGGGCGAACTGCGAAACCGAGCAATGTCAGCCGTCTGATGAGAGAGGTTGTGCGTTGCTGGTCGACCTGGCGACATACTAAATTTTGACCTTCAGATCGCATTCCACCAGGGCTATCATTTCGATTGCCCGGAGAGCAAGGGGTACAAGTTCGAGGGCTGGATTGACCTCATGACAGCCTACCAACATCTCAACGGAACGGATGAGTGGGAAGAGATGAAGAAGTTGGCAGATCCGAGTGAAGTCGCTGCATTGGATCGACGTCTCCAAAGGAGGAAGCTCCAGAGCGCGCTGAAAAGTGAAGGGGACTTCAGTCATGAGCTTGCAAAGAGATCGTTCCTCGAGACTGAGGTTCCGCAGCTGAAGAATGCGCTGACTTCCAGGCTCTTACGGAGGAACCAGAGTTACTTCTCGATACACTCGAACCCCAACAACCTCCGTGGAGGCTCGGACCTTGACGACATTCTGATGGACGACGCCAAGTGGTTGGAAGACATGAAAAGTACTCGACCAGATCTGTTCTCAGCTCCTGCTGCGGCCCCCGCACAAGCGCCGAGTGCCCAGAGCGGTCAGGCCGGTGAGGAGGAGGTGGAGAATCCCGAGAAGAAGAGGAAGCTTTCGGAAGTGAGGCAAAGCAAGTCGGAGAAGGCTAGGTGAAGAACGATGAAGACGAGAAGAAAAGTATGAATCTGTTCCTGCAGGGCATTGAAGCAAGAGGCAAAGATGAGGCAGAAACTCCAGCAGGAGGCGGTTTGTTCCTTGATGCATATTGCCATCCTCCCTTTGACAAGCCCTTTTAGGAGCAACAAAGGCTGCTGGAACTTCAATCGAAGGTATTGTTTTGTGAAGTATTGAGTTTGAGAGGGGGCGGCGATAGTGATATCTTTGATGATGACGATGATGATGGCAAGAAGGATTCTGATGAGAAGCTTGATGATTTTAAATTCCTATGGTGGTTGTAGTGATTTTGGATCATACCATCTTTCATCTCTGACTTTCTCCGCAGCTATTTATGGAAGCGAGCCATCAGGCAAGGACATGCGGAAGTTGAAAGTTGGATGTCGCTGACTGCTCACTACAGGTGCAACCGCCTACCATCGTCATTGCCTCTGAAAATGCAAAGGCGGGAGAGGAACGCGAGAGGTAAAGTGCGTTCTCGCCGTGAAAATCGCGGTGAATCTCCTTGAGCAGCGAACAGGAACAGGTTCCCAAGTCCTTGGCAGATGGTTTCAACCTCGATCTTGGCAACGAGGATGAAAATTTTGAGAATCTTGCGAGGCAGTGGGGAACGCAGTCGGACGTGAAGGAGCCGGAAGGAGCTGGGGAGCTTAAGGGCGATCAACAAAGTGAGGAGCTCTCAGAGTGGTCGGAGGAGGAGGGAGAAGGACCAGATGGTACAAGGATGGCCGATGGAAAGAAGGAAGCGAAGAAAATGGTGGCAAAGGACAAGGGAAAGACGACCGCAGACAAGTCAGGAGGTGATAGTGATACTTCGAGGGATCACTTGTGGATCGAAGACCTCAACGCCTCTGCCAGGGCAGCCAACTTGACGCTCTTTGACTACTGCAAGTTTGTCAAGTCGAAGCCGAACGATCATTCGTTGGAGCTGTGGTCGCTTGCTCGAAGGTACATCAACCGAGAGCTCAAGCAGTTCAAACGATTTCACGTCATGGCGTTTGACGACATGATGATGGAGTCGATCGAGCTGGCTAGGAACAATTCGTACCACAACGCCTACCAGCTCCAGTTCATGCGCATGTTTGAGAGGAGGAAGATCCTAAGAGAGGAGGGGCTCCTGCTGAACGAGGACGCGGCTGACAACTCTAGCCGTGAAGTTCTGAGAGCCGGGTGGGAGGCAAGAGACAAAGCGCTTCTGCAGCTGCAGAAGCAATCCCCGTCGGGGTTTATCAGGGAGGAGGTGTCTGCCAGGTTCAACCAGACTGTCCTGATCGAGAACGGGGTGGTAGACGAGAGCCTCCTCCTCTCCCACAGCGATGACTTCTCATCGTTTGACAACCTCCCTGACGACGACGACGACGAGAGCGTCGACGAGCGAACCCAAAAGAGGGACAAGGAGTGGGAGGCTCGTTACCTCGAGCTGCAGGCTTTCCACAGGCAGCACGGACACTCCAACGTGCCCAAACGCCACGTGGAAAACCCTCCCCTGGGGACGTGGGTGATGACGCAGAGGAGTAAGATAAGGAAGGGGCTGCTAGCGGCAGAGAAGAAGTTGTTGCTGGAGGAGCTTAACTTCGAGTGGGAGCTCAAGAAGAATAAGAACACGAAAGTTGGCAAGGCAAAGACGACCCGCGTGTCTGCTGCCCCGGGGGCGGCAGCCAGGAGATCTGCCAAGAAGTCGGCGGCTGTCAAGCAAGTTGAGATGGACTTGTCGGCGTTCCTTGTCAAACACAAGTTGCTCGATGACGTCGGGCAGCGCGTGCTGGAAGCAAACGTGAGGGGATAGGTAGATCATGACTGGGTTTGACATCTTGACTCGGCAGGTTTCGCTTGCCCAGCTAGCAGCCATGGAGAAGGAAGAGCTGGTGGAGAAATTCTCCCTCAACATGGGGCAGAGAAAGGTAACTACAACCCCAGTCGAGACTTGCTGCTGATTGTTGCTGCAAGGACCTTGAACAGGCCTTGGAGGACGAAGGTAACTTACACTGCCTGCTGCGGGAAGAAGCTCAGGGTATCCAGGTCTTGTCGGAGCAGCAGCAATGAAGCTGCGAGGAGGGAGTTGCTCTGACGTCCTCCTGTCGTTTGTGTCAGGGAGGCTGAGGGTGCGAGGGGGGGCAGAGGAGAATGGGAACGAGGACGAGGAGATGAAGGAATTGATCGTGGCTGAGGAGAAGAGGAGCGGACCCGAGCTGCAGTCTCGAGCTGAAGACAGGAAGGAAGAAGGAATGGAAGACGAGGAGGAAGAGAACTTGTGGAAAGGACAGGAGTGGAGAGAGAAGATCGGCGAGGACGAGGAGGAGAATGAGCAATGGCGGGGCGGGGAGGAAGAGGTGCAGGGATCGAATTTACACGCTCGAGAAACACCTGTGGGTATCGATCTGAACATCCCCGTCATTCATGAGGATGGAACGGCTCTGAGTGTGGTGAGTCTTGAGATAGAGGGAGGAGGAGGGTTGATGAGCGAGGCTGTGGCAACAGATTGAAATCCTTCAAGCCATGGGCAAGTTGAGAAACAATGAAACAGAACATTACAAAGCTCTCGAGGTATTCCATGTTTGCAATCTCAGTTCTAAAGACCTGTGTAGATCCAAGAGGGAATCCAGTCGCACAGACTTGCCCTGCAAGACAGTCTCGTGAGATCTGCTGACATCATGAAAGCTCAACAGGTAGTGGCCGTAATCTTTTTCGTTGACAACTCACGTTTGAGGTGTGTGTTGCTTCAAGTTGAGGGAAGCGACAAAGATGTTTTATGTGAAGAAATATTTCTCAGAGAATGCGATCGGGTCTGAAGGTGACGCACGTGTTCACGCTTGTTTCTTCACATTTTCCTCCCTGTCTTCTCATCACTGCCTTCCCCATCGCTTTCTCGACATGCTCCTCTCGTGACAAGCTTAATCGCCTCCTCTTGCTCGCCCTCTACACCATCATCAAGTTGAAACGTCTGCCAGATCAAACCAAAGTCCTGCAGCATCTTTTCGCTCACTGTCCGGTCAACTGGTTTGGCTGCGGACTAGAAGTGGAAAGAGACGTGAACAACATGGTCGAGTGTCCGGGCATCATCGGCGAGCGGGAGGAATGGAAGCAGCACAGAGGAAATGAAACTTTCACTCCTGGTGAACCTCAAACGCCTCGACCGTGAGCTCAGTCAACTTTCTCTATCCTTACATGACCCTGCAGGACAAATTTCAATGCATCAGTGGTACAAATGGTTCAAAGAAAACAAGAACTTGAGCGTAACCGTTGAACTTCCTGGGCACCTCAATGACCTTTTGCTCTCAGCTTGCAGGCGTCGACTATGAAAACCTAGTCGTCGACCAACTCCCACAAGTCCCAAAGAAGTGAGTTGACGGGGAGGTTGAAACGCTTCAGTGAGCCTTGGGAGCAGGATCTATGCAGAGAGCGTGATAGGCAGGTTGGAAGGTCGGAGGCAGCCAGCGAGGGCCGAGGGTGTGAAGCTGACGGCTGCTGGGCAGAGAAGAAGCACGTGGAGGATCGTTTTATGGTCCGGCACATGCAACGTTGGAGAGGTCGAGCTGTGAAGTTTGTCTCTGACTTGCCGTCAGTCGAGGGATTGATCGAGAGCATGTGGAAAGAAGGGTATGGAGACGATTGTCTGCACCGCACTTGCCTCCTAGCTCACTCTCAAACGCTCTCCCCTGCTCAGGTGGGACGTGGAGAAACTTTTCGGGGAGCAGGCGAATGTGATCCTCCGCTCCAAGTATCCTTATTATCCTCTCCGAGGAACCGTGAGCTCCCGTCCTTCTCTTCTTTCGTCCCCTTCACCGATCATCGCTCCATTCTCCTTCTTTCACCTTGTCACTTTTAACTGCCGTCTCTCCTCCATCTCTGCTCGTCCTCTACCTCTCCCTCTCCCCCTCTCCCTCTCTCTCCCTCTCCCTCTCCCCCTCCCTCTACCTCTACCTCGCCATCCCTCTCCCTCCCTCTCTTTCGTTCCTCCTCACGCTCTTCCAGGGGATCGGCATCGAGTGGATGCGGCAGGGAGCAGAGCTCATCGTCACGAGAGTCGCCGGCGACAGTCCGTGCAGGGGGAAGGTGAGCAGCTGTGCTCCAGCTGCGAGGATGAGCCGCTGCAGGTGGAGACCGGGGACACTATCTGCTTTGTAGACGGGGAGCTGGTGGGCGTCAGCTGGAGATGTCGGGGAGTCACTGAACGGCCGGCAGGTGACGACGGAGCGGATGTGCGAGAAGCTGATACGAGGAGAGCCGGGCTCTGAGATCTCGCTCGTGGTACAGTCCTGCTGGGGTCCTGCTGGTTTGCTGAGAGGAGGCGGTAGGTGCTGCCGAAGGCGACCAAGAGGAGGCTAGAGTACTCGGATATTGAGCTGACAGACCTGGTGGAGGTGAGCAGCGGAGGGGGGGAAGGGAAGAGCGTCGGGGGAGGCGAGGAGGTGACGGGCAGCAGGTCAAGGTTCCCAGGATGGAGTTTCATCCTGACATGCTGAGGGAGCACAAGACGGTGACCCCAGACTACATCTTCTAGTCAAGCGGGAGAGAGAGCGCGCGCGGAGGAAGAGGAGGAGAAAGAGGAAGAGGAGGAGGAGGATTGTACGTTAGTAACAAACAGTATTCCAAATTATCTTGTTACACGACGAAGAAAACACGACGACTAGCAGGGGAAGTTGCTGGAGTCTCTGCTGGGGTTCACCGAGACATCTATGGAGTACAAGTAACGGTCGTTGGAGGCAGCCAAGACTGTGACGGAGGTGCGACCGAACGAGTCTGTGCTACTCAGACACCGAACCTGTCAAGGATATCAGAGCAGAGCTGGGGAGAAGGGAGGGAGAAGGCGGCAGGGAAGCGACGGGGGACGGAGGAGAGGATGGGAGCAGAAGCATAATAGAGGGGAAAGGCACTGAGCATGACAGAGCTGGCAGAAGAAAAGGCACCGGAGCTTTGATTCTCTTCCGCGTGCCAAACTTCCATCTGCAGCTGGAGGTCAGGTGGGACGAGCTAGCGATCGAGAGCTCACAGCAGGGAGCCATCTAGTCCAAGGCCGTAGACAAACTTGTTTGCCGAGCTTGTGACCAACATGCCATGCACAAAGCAGGGTGAGGTTGCTCCTGCTGTAGACGTCATGCTGACTCCTCTTCTGCCAGCTCTCCGCTCTCACCATGCGCACCCAACTCAGAGAAGGAGCACTTCCCGCTGACGGTTGGGCTTGCATTCTCGTCGCTGATCTTCGAGTAGTCACCGCAGACTCCTCCTGACCCTCCCGTGACGTATCGCCACTGCATGGCACCGTCCGCCTGGATCGCGAAGATCTTGCCGTCGTTGGAAGCAGCGTAGACTGTTCCTGTCTCCGGGTCTTCGATTGGCTCTCCTTCCACGGACGAAGTTATGCTGATCTCCCATCTCCATGTGCCGTCAAACTTGAGGGCGATGATCCTGCATGGCGGTCAAACCTTTCAAATCCAGGTCTCAAACTTACCGTCCTGAATCTGAGTTGTTCTGTCTCGTACCAAACACGATGGAGACGTCTTGAACGAGAGGCTTGCTCGTGATCTCCTGGTAAGCATTGTACTTCCATTGCAAACTCCCGTCTTTTGCACTGATGCAGTAAAGGTACATGTCCGTGGATCCGAACAGGATCTGTTCACTTTGTCATCTGCGATTCAAACAACGCAAAACGCAGGCATTCACCTTTCCATCATGAGTTACACTAGCCGCCCCTCTTATCTGTCCTCCGGTTTGAAACGTCCATGCTTCTGTCCCGTCCAGGTTGAGTTTATACAGGATTCCATCCAAGCCTCCTATCACAACCTTCCAAACTTTAGCCACATCATAGCAGCGCACGGCATGACCTACCCCTGGATCAGAGTAAGACCCGTCATAGAGATACATCATGTCAAGCAGCAGAGGAGCGGTCATCAAAGGTTGTTCTGCACGTGACACCGTGTCAGACCAAGAGATCATCACTGTCAAACGGCTGGGTCAAACTCACGGGTGAGGTACTGCCATTTCGTCATGCCGTCAGGCGTCAGGGCCCAAACCTGAACGTCGTGAGAGGAAATGCCAAGAGTCATATAAGAAGCACTACATTGCGATCTCCGCTCCCGAAATAGATCGTGTCGTCCTGATCGACAACCGGTGCGCCAACAATGGATCCTGCATAAACCTTCCAGATGACGGTCCCTGCACCAGCGCATGAGAACAATCCGTGTCGTCATCGTCCAGACGGCAGGCAAGAACAGCATCACAAGAAGCTGCAGCAATCAAACACTACGAATGGAACGCTCGTGTGGAGTATCGCAAGGGAACAGGCATAGAGTAACAGGGTAACTGCAAGACGACAGGTCGGAGCGTGTAGAGAAATGTTACACCATTCGAGATTGGGTTGATCCGATAGACAGAGCCCTGCAGTGTCCCAACAATAACGTCGCCATCGCTCAGCACGGCTGGTCTCCCGACTATTTCGCCACCGTCGACTCTCAGTCTCCAATTCTCAGTCACGTTCATCAACCCTGGAGGAAGCAACCGGTTCAAACACCCGCAACCCACAGAAATCCTTTACCTGCCCCAGTCCCACTGCCACCGAGTAATCTTGTGGTGCCTGCATAATCTATTCTACAGTACACAAGACGCAGAAGACAGAGGAGGAGTGAAACTACGTGAAGATCCGTGCACGAACTCATGGCAGCTGATGTCTGTTGTATGAAGCGACACTCGTTGTATGAACTGAAAAAGGTTGATGGAAGAGAGAATCTGCGATGGTTTACGGCTGATATGAAGAGAAGAGAATGAATAAAAGGTTGAGAGCTCTATAGTATAGGATCAAGGGTAGGATGACAAGTAGATTGGAGGTAAAGAGAACTGTAGGATGATGATGGAAGAGGAGAGGAGGGGTTCAAGAGCGTAATAGAAGGGCCTGGGGGAGGGGGTATGAAGAGCACTATAGAAGCTACTAGAGCAGAAGTGAAGAGGAGGGAGGCAGGAAAGGTGAGGAGACGGGGGTTGTACAGGAAGGAGGAAGGAGCAATGGAGGAAGGTGAAGGGGTGGGGGTACGCTGACAGAGAGCAGGGTACGTGTGGTGCACCCAAAAGGCAGAGCAAGGTCAAGGGAACCCCTTTTGAGTATAGCGACAAAACTATAAGATATTCATACTTGATGGGTTTCTGAGAGACTCTACAAGAAGAAGGATTGTGTGATCTCACAAAAGGGGTAGGGTGGTATTCATGAGGATCCAGGGGTAGTTTGCAGATGGGGGTAGGGGTGGGGGGGCAGTTGAGGATAACGAACCTCCGAGTCAAACCAGGTCAACAGCCGTTACATCCGTTGACAGTGTCACTGGCCGCGCCAGTGACGCCCGTGACCCGGCGGTGCGCCGCCCCCGGCCGCGGGGCCGCGGGCCGATCATCGGATGGCGACCGCCGCCCTGAGCGCCCATGCCGGCCCGGGCTAAGCAGTTTTTAACTTAGCTTCTTGAACTTGGGCCCCACGACTGAGCCAAAGGTCACTGAGCACTCGAGTCATCCCGGTCCCGGATCGGATGTGACTCCGGCGGCGGCCACGGTGACACTGACAGAAAGTGATCATCCGATGACTGAGCCTCGGAGGGCGGACCCGGTAGGCGGTCGGTGCCCCCCGGCCGCAGTAGCCCGGGCCCGCCAGCTGGCCCGCCGGTCACTCTGGCCGGTACTGCGCCGGGCTGCTGCGCCGGTAGCCCAGGCCCGGGGATGAGGTCCCCAATCAATGAGACCCATGGAAAATGAGTGGGGGGGCGCTCTAGGGCATGGGTGATAGACGCCTCCTCCTCCTCCTCCTCCTCCTCCTCTCCTTCCTTGCTTCTTGCTCACATGCACAGAGTGACTCCTCGAAAGAAAACGCTCGATTGAGGGCGAGCTACAGGAAGGAAGCAAACGACGCAGCAAGGAGCGCAGGGAAGAGGAAAAAGGAACAAAGACTGAAAGCTTTAGAAGGGAAGGGGACGAGACTGCTCTCTGAGCCTGCTAGGGTGTTCATGGAAGACGGGACGGATGTGTCCATGGTCAGATCGAGACTCGACGAGAATGTATGGTATGATAACGAGGAGCTCCGGGCGTCTGCTGAAGACCTCCCCAACCTTTTCTACCATCCCCCGATCCAAAACGAGGACGAGCTTGCGATCTGGATGTCAATTGCTGAGCTGCAAGCTAAGAACGAGCGACGATTCCGGGCGCTCAATAGGAAGCTCGTTGTCGCTGTCAAGCGTAACGATTTGGACGCGGCGAAACAGGCGATAGATCAAGGGGCCTCGGTGCATATCCCGAACAGCAAAGGAATCCCACTGGTCATGCTCGCTGCAGGTTCTGGGCACCTGATCGATGTGGAGGACTCCTACATAGAGCTTGATAGAGGTCAAGGGTCGCCGGCTATGATCGACTTTCTTGTAAACATGGGCGCTTCGGTCCATGCTCGCAGGAAGTGGGACGAGCAGAATGCACTGATGGTCGCCTGCCTTCGGGGAGACCTCGACTGTATCCTGGCACTGTTGCGGAATGGTGCAGATCTTGCCGACGTGGAGTACAGGAACATGACTGTGAGTACGCTGGTGTTGTCTACCCTGGATGAATTTTCGATGGTTGTGGTCAGGCGTTGGACCTGCTGCAGGAGCGAATCTTCCGAATCAACTGGAGGCTGTCCAAGAGACTCGATGACCAAGTCTGTGAATGATACATGTTGCTAATGCTGCTGCTGCTGCTGCTGCCGCCGCCGCCGCCACCGCCGCCGCCGCCGCCGCCGCCGCCCTTGGGCTGACTGATTGCACAGGAATTCTTCTCTGCGATGGTGAACCTCAGCGATTATGACGCGGATGCGAGGATGATGGCAGGAGAGGCGAGCGACAGAAACTACACGGAGCAGGAGCAGCGATTTATATCGGAGCTGAAGATGATTCAGGCAGTGATAGATTTCTTGTACGAGCAGGCTGGCGAGAAGGTCTCCAGGTACTCCATGATCTCTCCTCCTTGCCTGGTGATCTCTTGTCATCGCCAGAGTCCTGAGGATGAAGCTCCTCAAAGAGGCGGCACAGCTTGCCTCCAAAGATGAACAGAACGTGCGTCTTACATTGATTGCTCTGAGAGACGTCGAAATCACTCCTCTCATGTCGTTCCTTGTAGATGGTCGCGTTGGTTCTGCAGTATGAGCTGCAGGTACGGAAGGAATGCTACTGGAGCAAGGGGGTCTGATAGTTTGACAGGAACTGGAAGCAGAGGATAAACGGCAGATGCTGGTGTTTGTTCTAGACAACCTCTACCTTGTTCACTCAGCTTGCAGATCACGTACAACGGAAGCATGGGAAAACTGGAGGACAAGAAGGTCATGTCGGACACAAGGAAGCGAGTGGAAGAGTACAAGCTTGCCATCCGATCAGGAGAAAAGAGAGAGTGGATGACGAGATGTCTATGATGATGGAGGGTGCTGGTCTCTTCGACCTGGGCATCTCCGAGGACGGCAGGGAGAGGCATCGGATCATGGATGAAATCCATAGAAAGGCTGCTAGGTGAGGAGAGCGACGAGACGGGTGGGAAAGGGAGACAAGGAAGTTTGTTCTGTGCGTCAAGAGGGGGTTGCGGCCCGCGGGGAGTGGGTGGGGTGGTGGGGGACATTCTTGAGCGTAATATTGTCAGGAAGCACCTTGAAGGCATGTACCGGGACCTGGGCACCATCGAACGTCCAAGACGGTTGAGCACAGTGATCGATCCTTTCGTATCGCCGGTGGTCCAGGTTGAGGAGATGGAGGAGGAGGAGCAAGGGCAGAACAAGAAGCTGAGAGGTATTAGCGAATCGCCTTGCTACAGTCTCTCAAGTGTTCTTGACTTGTAGGAGCTACGATGGAGATGATTCAGTCCGCCGTGCCCTCGACCGAACACTCTAGCAGTAAGCTCTCGAAGCTGAAGCGGTAAGGCTCTACGACTATTGCCTTGCGTCACTCACGCGTGTTGTCAGGGAACTTGAAAAGGCAGAGAGACTGGGCGACACCTTTAAGAAGGAGCTGCTCCTGAAGAAGATAAGAAGATTGGAGGGCCAACAAAGCACAAAAGGCTCAAACAGCTAAACCAAGTTAATCTTGATAAACATGTATGTGTAAAAATGAATATCTCGACTTTGTATTCTTCTAGTTCCCATGCAATGTGCGACGTGACCTCCTCGCTGCAAGGATCTCAATCTTTGCTCTTCTTTTTCTTCCTGTTTCGATCAGGTAACCTACGATTTCATTAGGATCTTACACAAGAGTGCTCCAGAAACATCACCTCTTGTCCTTCTTCTTTCCTTGCTTGTGTTCTGTATCTTCACCCCCACCAGCTTCTTGGTTCTCATCAGAAGCTTTGTTCTCGTCATCTTCAACATTCATGAAGAAATCGTCTTGTTCTTCTGCAATCATCGTCGTCACAACAATGACCTAACCAATCCCCTCTCCCTCATAATTCAAAGTTCCCACAACAAACTCAAAGCATCCACCGTATCATCAAGAATGGACAGTACAACAAGAGTCGCATACCTTCATCATTGTCCGCTTCATCCTCACTCTTCGGTTCCTCCATCGACTTTCTGATAGCCTGTTCCCTCCGTTCTCTCACAACTACCCTCATTTTCTCCACCTTCTCCTTATCGGCTGTCTTGAAAAGAGAAACATACTTCATGTCGTTTGGAAAGTGGACGATGTAATCTAAGTCTTGCCGCAACTGCTCTTCCTCCTCGCGCAACTTCTTGATTGCTTCTTCGTCTTCCTCCTCCTTGAGTTGCCGCTCAACTTTCTTCATAGCTCTAGTTACTTTCTTCTTCTCGAAGAATTTGACCATGTGATATTTCTTGCTGTATTTCCTTTCCAGCTCCTGTTTCTTCTTATTCTCCATGCTGTTCTTAATCTCTTTCAACTTCTTCTCATGCGCAGCCCGCGCTTCTGGCGTCAGGTCTCGCTTCAGAAGCCGCTCAACCCCCCTGAGCTGCTGCTTGAGCGAGGAGCCCTTTTTCTTTTTCTTTTCTTGCTCCTTCATGCCTCGGAACGCCGGAGAGAGTTAGGTAGGAACCTGGATTGTGGGAGGAGAGACAGGAGGAGGGGAG